GGCAACATCCTCCTTTTGCCACATCTGTGAATATGCCTTCATTTCAGACTCACTAAAGAAGTTAGACACTAAATTTTATGACACTAAACTGGCAGGAATAGCCAACAACCCAGAAGACAAGCTCAGGATCCAAAAAGATCTTGACAAACTTGAACATGGGCCCTATCCAACAAAATGAATTTTAATATGGAGAAAAGCAAAGTTTTACATGTATGCAGGAAAATTCAAAGGTATAAGTACAAGAGAGACCTGGCTCAAAAACAGTAACTGTGAGAGGGACCTTGGAGTCCTAGTAGCCGATCACTTGACTATGAGCCAGCAATGTGCAGCAGCCACCAAAAAAGCTAATATAATCCTAGATTGTATAAACAGAGGCATAAAATCAAGATCACACAAAGTATTAGTACTGCTTTATAAAAACCCAAGTAATACTGGAACCTGGAATACTGCAACCAATTTCAGTCACCATACTACAAAAAAGATGTTGAGACTTTGGAAAAAATTCAGAGAAGAGCAACTAAAATGATCAAAGGCCTGGGGACTAAAACATATGAAGAACGGCTGCAGGACTTGGGTTTGGCTAGTCTAAAGAAAAGGAGAAATGGGCGACAAGATAGCAGTATTCCAGTATTTGAGGGGCTGCCACAAAGAGGGCATCAAACTATTCTCCAAAGTACCAGAGGGCAGGACAAGAAACAATTGTTGGAAACTGACCAAAGAGAAGCAACCTGGAATTAAGGAGAAACTTCCTAACAGTGAAGATAATTAACCAGTGGAACAGCTTGCCTCCAGAAATCATGGGTGCTCCATCATTGGAGGTTTTAAAGAAGAGACTGGACAGTCACTTGTCTGAGATGGTATAGGTTCTCCTGCTTGAGCGGGGGGGCTGGACTAGAAGACCTCCCTATCCTATCCTATCCTATCCTAAGCAGGGTTGATGCAATCTGCTACATTTTGCAAGCCATTAGACTGGAAGTAAAAGTTATGTTGTATAAATCCACCAGAAATATTGAGTTAGTAAATAATGCAATAGATTAGAATGTTCCTGTTGGATAACTTAACATTTTCACCACTCTGCATGTCCACAAATGACCAAAAAGTGCTGTATTTATTTTATTAAATGTTTATGCCGCCCATCTCCCCTAAGTATTCTCAGGTGACTCAGTATTCATTTTGTGATTGCAAATATATGTTGGTGAATAGGCAAATGGTAAATAACAATTGTATATTCTGCTTTATAATGGTGAGAAAGAGCCATTTAATGGATCTTATCAGAAGCAGAAGAAATTCTAAGGGCTACAAAGAAAAAAAATCAAGGACTCAGGAGTTTGATGGGGCTGGGGGTCCCAATTTATCCTTCACTACAAAGATCATTTTTCTTTTATGTTGCGTTGAACATCAGAACCCCAAATCCCCAGTCAGCATGCCTGCAACAAAGAATCCTATTCCATTATAGAAATTTAGACACAGAGATCACATCCATCAGTTCTAATGGGAAGACTTCCAATAGGATGGGAGATATAGCAATAAAAATTCTCATACAATCATGACAGACTCCCAGGGCTACCGGTGACCTGTGTTCAGAGTTATAATAGCCCTGTGCATCCAGCGAAGTCATGTGATCCCATTTGGAGCACTTAGCAACTGGCTCACCTTTATAGCTGTTTGCAGCATCCTGCAATCATATACTGCAGGGGTCTTCAAACTTGGCCCTTTTATGACTTGTGGACTTCAACTCCCAGAATTCCTCAGCCAGCCATGCTGGCTGAGGAATTCTGGGAGTTGAAGTCCACAAGTCATAAAAGGGCCAAGTTTGAAAACCCGACATATTGCAATTAACAATGTTTTTTGCTGGTTCTGGCAATGATTGCAACGACTTACAACCATAATTCTGGCCTCAATTACAGTTTTAAGTCAAGAACTACTTATGTGAGATGCATAAATAGGTCTGACAGTTCTTCCTTTACTTAGATTACAGTATGTTTGGTGCTGTTAAGAGATGCAAGCCAGGCTGTGGATTTTTCCAGAATATATGCCCTGTTATTTTATCCGACATTCACACACACAAAAAGAATTTGCACAGTGTAATTATAAAAGTACCAAGAGAAATACTGAAACCAGAGATAAGCTAGGACAGTGATGGCGAACCTTTTAGAGACCGAGTGCCCAAACTACAACCTGAAACCCTCTTATGTATCGTCAGGTGCCAGGTGGGCGTGGCCCATTGGGTGGGTGTGGCCAATTGGCTGGGCATGGCCCATTGAGTGGGCATGGCTGCAGTGGTAACAGCAGACTGGATGGAACTAAAAAGTTCAATCAATTCCAACTTTGAGAGATCTTTTTTTCCCCGCGAGTTGAAATTTTATAATAAATTAATTTCTCTTCTGATATTATATATATATATATATATATATATACACACACACACACACATATACACATACATACGTATACATGTATGTGTGTATATATGTATGTGTGTGTGTATATATATATATATATGTGTGTGTGTCTATATGTATGTATATGTATATATATGTATATGTGTATGTATATATATATATATATGTTTTCTGAGGTTTTCGCGGGTGTTTCTAGGTCTTTGATTGTTCGGGTTTTCTCCCGCGTAAAATTGGAAGTGTCTTGGTGACGTTTCGACGAAGTCCCATTCGTCATCTTCAGGCTGGTGTTTTCAGCTTCGTGCATGAAGCTGAAAACGCCAGCCTGAAGATGACGAATGGGACTTCGTCGAAATGTCGCCAAGACACTTCCAATTTTACGCGGGAGAAAACCCGAACAACCAAAGACCTACGTATGTATGTATGTATGTCCTTAATAACATTAAAAATGCGAATCCTGGGCATACACTTATCAATAAAATATAGAAAAAACGAACACCAGGATAAAAGTAAAATAAACCTGTTTAATACAAACAAGTTTGTAAATAAAAGAGTTACCAAGCTTTCATCGGCCCAACTGCCGACGTCATCAGGGTTGGAATGCTAGGTGATTAGGGAGCTTGCCTATATAGCTACCTGTCTGCACCCAGCTTCTCGAGCGCGTAATCGGCCCATTAGTTTATTAATCTGCAACGTGCTAAGTTGATTCACATGCAGCAGCCTGTTGGTGGACCCGGTGGTTATGCCCACCAACAGGCTGCCGCATGTGAATCAACTTAGCACGTTGCAGATTAATACAACTAATGGGCCGATTACGCGCTCAAGAAGCCAGGCGCAGAGACAGGTAGCTATTTAGGCAAGCTCCCTAATGGTGTTTGTTTTTTCTATATTTTATTGATGTGTGTGTGTGTGTGTGTGTGTGTGTGTGTGTACACGTGTGTGTGTGTCTTGAGTGCTTTTTTTACGATGCACCCTGTCGGCCCAAATATGGGAAGAAGAAATAGCTATACCAATCTCCCTTTAACTCTTTGTTAGCAATCCAAATTTAACATATATACATACACACACACACACAAATATATACATACATATATACAAATACATACTTACATATATACATATACACATATACATATATACAGTGCTTTTTTCTTAAAAAAAAAAAAAGGTGCCGGAACTCACATACATCATACAACCTGCCTTGCCTACCCTACAAGGTTCCACCCAAAAAAGGTTCTGGAACTCCGTTCTGGGTGTTCTATGAGAAAAAAAGCCCTGCATACATACATACATAATATATACATATACATACACATACATACATACATACATATATGTAACGATGCTAAGAAAATGACTCAGGCATTTCTTGAGCAGGTTTGAAGCTGCAGGACACAGCTTGACAAACTCTGAGTTAGGAACTTGGCTGTGCTCTGATTGGATGGGGGGTTGGCTGTGCTCTGACTGGTTGGGGGAGTGTTCTCTTTTGGTGGGGGCTTTGTTGTGCTCAGGTTAGTCTGAGTTGCATGGGGATGTGAGATGGTGAGCTGCATTACTATTGTTTGGCTTCGCGTTCGTGGTCATGCCTCATCTTCATGGTGGGTGTCAGTTTGCTTCATGTATGGTTTGGAGGAGTTTAAAGTGGCTAATGATGCAGCTGTGGTCTGGCTTCTGGCTTGTGGTCGTGCCTCATCGGTGTGGGTTTGGGTTTCACATCCCCATGCAACTCAGACTAACCTGAGCACAGCCAACCCCCCATCCGATCAGAGCATAGCCAAGCTCCTAACCAATCAGAACACACCTCCATCCAATCAGAACACAGCCAAGCTCTCATCCAATCAGTTCATACCCCCACTGGCAGTTAAAAGGAAGAAACAGCTACGATCACACATTGCTCCTAGAAGCACGAAGCTGAAAACACCAGCCTGAAGATGACGAATGAGACTTCGTTGAAACGTCGCCAAGACACTTCCAATTTGATGCAGGAGAAAACCCGAATAACCAAAGACCTACATACAAACACCCGCGAAAACCTCAGAAAACAAATACACACACACACACACACACACACACGCGCACACACACATATATATATATAAAACAGAAAAACCTTCATAGAACTTTTATTTTAATCATAAAATGTTATAGATTTCCTAATATGTATACAGGCATACCAGCAGAGTAAATTGCCATAATGTGTCCTTCAATAACTCTTCACAAAAAAATACAGCCATTCTGGATTGTATTTCTGATTCCCAATCAACACCTTTGCATCGGTTTTTATTTTCTATGTACATTAATGTTTAAACACATATTTACTTTCACATCAGCCTTAAGTTATTCCTCAAAGGACAATATTCAGAATTCAGTTATAGGGTTTCTAGCATCTATAAAACATGATCAAATTAATTTGTAGAAAATATTTGTATGCATATGGATAAAGACAACTGCCCCAATAAAGCAAAATAAATTGAATGGTAGTGTGCATTTTTTTTCCTTTCCCCACTCAGACAAAGGTTGCATTCCTTATGACTACTATGAATCTTCACTGAATATACTTCCAGGCTCAAACGAGTTTTTAATAAAGGAAGGAAGCCCATAACAAGTTACAGCATTTTCATTTTATTTGTTCTAAAAGTACAAATAATAAGATTTAAGAAATTAAAAACCCAAATCTTAATTTTCATGTAAAGATAGATAAAACTATAAATCTTAAGCAGGAATTTTTTTATTTCCATAAGTTACAATGAAAGAATAACAAATCCCTGTTAAATGTATTTCCAACATTTGAAATGACTTTTTAATTTTGGAGGCAAGAATTCTTATGCAAGAGGACAGGTTGTCTATACATGCTTGCTTCTTAATCTCATTATTCTTTGCATTGTAGCCTTCTATACTACAAGAGCTCCCCCCACCTTATAATAGAGATGGAATCTTACAAGCACTTCCAGGTCCCAACCCATATACCGATATGTTTATATTAAGAGAACATCCAGGTAATCAAAATCCTGTCTGCTGTTGCAATCTTTCTTTTTAAATACCATTTTAAAGTATTATCATTAGTAAAAAAAAAACATTGTGAACATATGAAGTCTGTGCCAGCATTATATTTAACTGTAATTCTTAAGCTTTGTAAGGAATAAAGCAGTATTATGATGCCTGAAGCTGACTATCACATAATGAATTGACATTGACATTAAAAAGATAGATCCTACAGCCAATCCTGTAATTTTTAAAACCTCAATTTCAATAAGGGATATTTCTTGAAATATCAAAATTGAGGAAATAACAGATTTTTAGTTTAAAATACAGAAATAATGTGACTCCATTATTGATACAGATGTTACAAATTCCAAATTGTTTTATTTCAATTTCAATCACTTTTCTCAAAATGAACTTATCTGAAACACTACTGATGCACTTTAGTAAATTTGTTAATTGAAAATATTGTTTAATAATTATATAACACAAAACATTTTAATAGAATGGACCCAGAGCATTATATACTCTAGACATTGTTAACTGATTTTTTTTTTCTACACCTCTCATATATCTATATTTTATTTATGCCAGTCTCGGGTTTGCTTCAGAATAGACCATACAAGAAATATATTGACAAAGTATTTGATGCTTCAAAGTAGATTTTAAAAATACTGAAGGTCTTGTCAAAGCAATTTAGCTTAGTTTTCCTTTAGTTTCTTTAAATAGTGAGCTCTTGATTTTAAGGCTGTATCTGTGATGACTTTTTGGACATACCGTTCAGGCAATTTTTCCGCAAACCATTTCTAAGAAACAGAAGCAGAAAAAAAATGTGTTACTAAGTTAAAGACCAAACTATCAATGGATTGATAAATGAAAGCAAGTTATAGACACTCTGGGAAATGTTAATCTCTCTTTAAATATACATACCAAAAAAGCATGAGATGGATATCCACAAGTTATCGTTTCCTGACCAAGAGTGTTGAGGGAATATTTTACATATTGTTCAGGAGTGGGTCTATAAATGTTTGCTCTACGAAGTTTAGACATTTTTGTTATGACAAGATATGGATGAACAGTCTGAAAAAGAAAGAACATGGTTTTCTCATTTGTAGAAATTGGTCACTTGGATATTTATAATATATCATGAAATACAAGTCATGCCAAATATTAAGATCACACATAGATATTAATAATTCAGCATCATGGGTGATTGAAAATCTCCATTGTTAGGTATATATTGGCTTTAGGAAGATGATAAAAGCAATTTGGAACAGGCTAGAAGAGATGAAAGAATGATTATTTTCAAATAATCTGGTAGTTCAGCTTCCAATTCTTAAATCTGTGCAGACTTAATATGTAAAAGATCCCATCTTACAATCGAGGTAATTAGGCAAAGACTATTATCATCATAGATTTCTAGAAAAGTGACTTAAATAGTTATAATAATGGAGACATTTTAATATTATTCATAGGATTGAACAGGCTTTTTAAACACTTTTTCTTTTAATTAAATTTAATCCAGCAATTTGCATCTGTATATTGTCTTAAAGTCTTATTTAATATCCACAACAAATCAATGCATGTGCTACAAAACAATTTAAACATAGAAACTGCTATAGTGACAGCATATTATATTAAGAATCACATGATTAATATAGGTAGTCCTCGCTTACCAAGCACTTCAGTGACCATTCGAAATTATGACAGTGCTGAAAAAAATAACTATAGGCCCAAATGTGTGATATTCATAGTGTCATTCGTATCATTACATGAACATGATTACAAATTTCCGATGGGGAGAGGGCAGATTGAAGAGCTACCCTGAAGTGGCAGCCCACATCCAGTTATGTTTTGGACCCAGGCAGGTTTCTTTAACAATTGCCTTGCTTAGCAATGAAAATTCTGGTCCCAACTGTGGTTTTAAGCATTGTAGCACCCAGCTGGAATGAGCATTTAAAAGAGCCGGGAATTCTTGTCCATTTTGAGCTAGCTATCCCAATGACAGAGTAAGCATTCCGAAAGGAGGGGACATGAGGAAATGTGATTTCCCACTTTGCAACAGCTTCAATAAACAACACAGCTGCTAGCTCCAATTGTGACTGGCCTATTTTAGTACAATAAATCATTGATTTAGAAGGAACATTAAAGGATCTATGTCTCCTTTGTTTATACATGTCTGAGTTAAAGATCAGTTTATCCGATATTAAGTGTACATAATGTATGTTTCATGGATTAATTCATTAGGAACATTGAACTGAGGTATATTGAAATCGAAATTTAATCTTCACATTGCAATGTTCAATCATCACACTGGGTAGCACCAAAGGATAAAATATTAAATATTGTAATAGTTACAAGTGGTATCATTTTGCAGTTTTTCACTTAAAAACCGGTCTTCAGGATGTTATTTTAAAAAAAGATTCCATATTAGCAGATTTTCCTAATTTTTTTGTGTCTGATTCTTGGAGATTGCTTGGACAAGACCCCTGCAGTTTTCTTGCCATGGCCTCCTTCCTAGGGCTGAGACAGAGAGCGATGCTACAAGGTCAAGCTTTGTGCTTAAGCTGGATTAGAACTCACCGTCTCCATGTTTCTAGCCTGATCCCTAACACTAAGCAGGCTGTTATTCCTATATTACCCCTTTTCAATTAAATAAAGAGTTTTAGAGTTTGATTAATTAAACTAGATTCATTTTTTTCTGATCGTCATGTTTTCTTAAGGTAAACAAAACCTATTGCTCTTTACTGATACTTATGTGGGTAATTTTTTTTTAATAGTTTGGCACAGTACTGTGCTCATTTCTCCTGGGAGAAGAAAAAACAAGCACAACACTGTGCCACCCACTCTCAACTCCCAAAGCCGCTCCAGAGATCATGATTGAAAGGACCTGAAAGATCAAGAACAAGGATGGATGTACCTCTCATCCTGCTCTCACAAAAGTCATCTAAGACTGCAATCGGGGTTGTCAGGACCTCGGTCAGGCATGCAGGAGGTCCTCCAGAACAAACTTAAGCTCCTTCTGAAACCCAATTCAGTCCATTTGTTACCTGTGGCAATCTAATAGGTGCAGCTTCCCTGCAATTGGGTGGTGGTGTACAGTAGCTTGAATCCCAGCCCCAGTGACCCTCTTGTGGATGTTTTTAAAAACATCTTCCTGTAGGCAGTGGAAAATAAGTTATTTAGATTGCTCTAAAATTTTGTCATTTGGGGGGATGTGGCATGTCTTCACAGCCTTTGCTTCCCATGCTCTTTTGATATTTCTAAATTTTCGCTATACTTTTTTGGATGTTCCTGATGTTACAAATGTCGAAAATGGAAATATCTTACCATAGAGACTGATAAAAGAGAGGAGACTAGAGTTTAACCTCATTTTATAAGATGCAAGTAACCTTCTAGCCAGGAAAAGGAGGCACCAAGTGACCCTACAACTTTCAATCAATTGCCTAAAGGACATTTGCAACCACAAATTAAGCAGGAATTCAAAAAGTATTTCAAATCCCCAATATGACAATGAGATGACCTCCCCTGATGCCAAATGACCAAGAAGATGCTCTTGAAATACATGGCAAAAATGTTCATGGAAGATTTAAAGATTCTAAGAGTCACATGGAAAGATGCTGAAGTACTCATCCAAGACCAAAAATGCTGGAGATCCCTTGCTACCCAATAGGCTACATAACACGTGAAGGTATAATGCTAAAAAATAGAATTCAAAAATTGTCAAAGAACTCCTGCAATAAAAGCAAATAAATAAATAAAAATTCCTGCAAATTAATTAAAAGCTCTCTATCAGCCAGACGATTAACATAATAAAGCTTTAAAGATGGAATTTCATAAAGTCAGCACTATAATGAAAATAATTTGAGTCAAGGAACTGCCTACTAATTTGTTTTTGGCAATGGTACCTACAATTGTCTTTCAGATAAGGAATAACCTTGGAGTGTATTTTAACCTCTAGCTTCCCATTACACATACAGTATCAAAACAGATCAATCACACTAACCTGCACAAGGACACCTTTGTTTTGATATTCCAGGCTGAGTGCTTGAGAAAAGAAATCTGCAAAAACCTAAATATATATAAAGAAATATAGTTGTAGGAATGCACAATAAATCATATACTGTAAATTTTTCATACCTTGCCATTAATTGTAAACCATTTAGTATGGAAAATAGCATTCCAAACTAGGAACTTTGTACATTGTAAGGAAACGTGAGTAATACTAGTATCTCTAACTTGTATTGTATTATGATCAGCTAAACACATTCATAATCAACAGCATATTGTTCACACACCTTAAAAGAACAGGAAGATATATTCTAGAAAAGTCATAGAACCCAAGATTGTATTCGTGCTATATTATTTTAGATTATGAGGAACTGGTTTGAGTGTTCAATGGTCCAGTCACCCACAGGAGTTTTTTGGATGTGCAACGCACATTTGGGCAGTAACCTTGCTTCACTTTGCATTTTTGAACTTGCTGGTCATTTCCTGTTTTTTCCTCGGTTCTTACTGTATATCAATACAGGTAGTTGTCGAGTTACAACCATTTGTTTAGTGACTGTTTGAAGTTACAACAGCACTAAATTGGCTATGTAGTAAAAAATTATTATTATTATAATAAAGTTGGAAGGGACCTTGGAGGTCATCTAGTCCAACCCCCTGCTCAGGCAGGAACCCCTATACCATTTTGGACAAATGGCTGTCCAGTCTCTTCTTAAAAACTTCCAGTGTTGGAGCATTCACCACTTCTGGAGGCAGGTTGTTCCACTGGTTAATTGTTCTAACTGTCAGGAAATTTCTTCTTAGTTCTACGTTGCTTCTCTCTTTGGTTAGTTTGCATCTGTTGCTCCTTGTCCTGCCTTCAGGCACTTTGGAAAATAGCTTGACTCCCTCTTCTTTGTGGCAACCCCTGAGATATTGGAACACTGCTATCATTTCCCCCCTCATCTTTCTCTTCATTAAACTAGACATACCCAATTCCAGCAACCATTCCTTATATGTTTTAGCCTTCAGTGCCCTAATCATCTTTGTTGCTCTTCTCTGTACTCTTTCTAGAGTCTCAACATCTTTTTTACATCGTGGTGACCAAAACTGGATGTAGTATTCCAAGTGTGGCCTTACCAAGGCATTATAAAGTGGTATTAACACTTTATAGTTGATCTTGTATACGATGGAGGACAAATCACTGATTGGTAATGGTTCTTTGGGTTGCATCAACTGGGAATGTAACGTTTGGTTGGGTTTATGTGCTATGTTGATATTGTATGGGGCAAGGATCCTGGCGGTTGCTTCTGAGACTCCATTGATGTATGGGAGTGTTGCCCAAGTTGTATTCGTTGGAGCATTGTAGTTTGAGTGTGGTGTTTTATCTTTGCAGCAACATTTGGTGGGTAATTATTTTGTTTGCATATGCTGAGAAGGTATGCTTTCTCTTTAGATTTTGCTGTTTCTGTGCTGCAGTGGGTCTTGATTCTTTTGAATAAAGTTCTTAAACAGCTGATTTTATGCGATATAGGGTGATTGCTTTGGTAGTGGAGAATTCTATCAGTGTGAGTGGTTTTCGATAGACGGTGGTTGATAGGTTGCCATCTGGAAGGCGATGGACCAAGACATCCAGGAAGGGTAAGGTGTTGTTGTCCTCCTCTTCTGCTGTAAATTGGATGTCTGGATGGAATGAATTCAGTTTCTGTAAGAATTTGGTGGTATCACATCGCTTAATGACTGCAAAGGTGTCGTCCACGTACCTAACCCAAAAACTAGGTTGATAATCAGCCATGACAACACGTTCTAGATCCTGCAGTACTGCTTCAGCGATGATGCTTGAAATGGGTGACCCCATGGGTGTGCCCTTCACTTGCTCATAAGTTGTGTCTTTGTAAGTAAAATAAGTTTGAAGGCAGAAACCCAGTAATTGTATGTAGTCCTCTGTGCTAGGAGAATTGGGGTGTTGTATTTCTCCTTTTTGCAGAAGGTTTCTAAAAATAGAGATGGCTAGATTTTGGGGAATGGATGTGAAGAGGGATACTACATCGAATGAGATCATGATTTCATCGTCTCTAACCTTTAATGTACGTAATTTCATCAAAAATTTTTCAGAGGATTTCACCGTGGTTAGGGAGTCACTGATCAGGTGTTTGAGTTTTAAGCTTAACCACTTTGCTAGGCCATAGGTGGGTGTACCTCTGAAAGATACGATAGGTCTTAAAGGAACTCCTACCTTGTGGATTTTGGGGAGTCCATATATACGTGCCATGGCCGTGTCTCTGGGTCGGATGGATCTGTGGTCTTCGTCTTTTATTCTGTTTTGCCTCTTGAGTCTGTTTAAAGTGTTGTTAAGTCGGTTGGTGAGTGATGTCATAGGATCTTTGTTGGTGATGCGGTATGCAGTTTTGTCATTAAATAGATCAAGGATTTTCTGGTCATAATCATGTTTATTTAAAATTACTGTAGATCTACCTTTATCAGCTGGGAGGATGATGATGGATTTGTCTTTTCTTAGATCCTCTAAAGCTCTGCTTTCAGATTTTGGTAACGTGTGGTATGTTCTGTGGTTGATAAGTAGTCCTGATATTCGTTGTCTGATGGTGTTTTTAATGTCTTCACTGCTTTCAATGCGGTGAATGATTGGTTCAAATGAAGCTGCGAAATCAAGGTGTTTGGCATCCTTAAGGTTAGTACCAGCATCACGTTGTAACAGTGAGGTTTGTTGACTGGTCAAGGTCCTAGATGAAAGGTTGTGTACCAATTTTTCAAGGACTTCTTTCTTGTTTGAGGTGATTAAGCTTTCAGTTTTTCTTTGAAGTATCTCTGTTTTGCGCTGTCGTGTTTTTTGGGTTGTGTGGTATATTAAGAGGTTGAGGATGTTGAAATGTTCTTGGGTGAGGATGGATCGGCATTGTTCACGATGGTGCTGGATTCTGGTAGTTTGGGCATCAATGCGTCTGTGATGGTGATTAATCATGGCACGCATGATGCGGCGTTGGAACTGCCAAACTGCTGCATAACCTTCTGGTGATTTAATTGGAGGCTTCTTGCGTAAAGATTTTGGTGGGAGGTTGTTGTGGATGCAGTTATGTAAAAAAGTTAGTTGTTCATAGCTGGTAGTCTTGCGTTTGGATAAACTCTCCCAATATCTAGCTTGTTGTAATACTGCCCGTCCATATGTGTCTTTAATAATTTTGAATATAGGAATCCCAGGTATGGACATTTAAAGTCAATCAGATAAAAATAAAGAGTTCTGGGATGTAAGATAAAAGGCTTTTTTTAATTAACTGCTGAGCTTTCGTTAACAACCTGTTAACATCATCAGAGCAAAGGGCTAAATGAGAAGGGGGAGCATGTGCATAAATTTACATAACAGTTAAAAAACAGTTGAAGTGAGGCATGTGCACACATTGTGCCCAAGAAGCTCTTAAAGGCATAGAGCAGTCAGTCTCAAGACCATTTTAAAAGTCGCGCTTGTCAGCTGTTTGGCGCGTAGATCCAGCATGCCTTTTAGCCAGCCTCTTGGATTGTATAGTTTGTTTGGTGTAGGGTTGTTGTGTGTGTGTGTTTTGTTGGGTACGGTTATTTGGAATGTTTGTGTGTGTTCGTTTGTTATGCTTATTAGTTGTGGGTGGTTTTGTGGTGTTTGGGAATTGGGCTGTAATATTTTGTTCCATTGAATGTGATAAGTCATATTTCATTGTAGGGGGGAGTTTTGGTCTTGGTCTTAATATTCTGTTGTTACTTAGGTGTTGTGTGTGTATGTTTTGTTGTGTGTGAGTATCTTGTGAGGTTGCAGGATTTATGTTTTGGATGTTTGTGTCCTGGATGTTGTGGTCAGGGGGGTTGTTGTTTCTGTGTGTGAGAATATCAGAACATGGTGTGTTGGTTGTGTGAGTTGTCATGGTTGTGTTAGAATTATATTCTTTAGTTAGGTTTGATGAAAAGGATTGTGTTGTAGAAAGGATATCTATTGTGTTGGTTTGGGGTTTGATAAGTGGCTGGGGTGGTGTTTTTGTGTTATTATTGGTTGGGTTGAAGTGTTTAGGTACTTTATGTTTTTGTAAATGTCTTTTTAGGGTTTGGTAAGGAGGTAGTAGGTCTATGTGTCTATTAATAGAATGACAGTCTGAAAACCAAGCTTCTTTTAAAAGACGGCCTCCTTTGGTGGAATCATAAGCAATGACTTCTGCTCCTTTAAAGTTGAAAGTGTGGCCATGCTCAGCTATATGGGTCCAGCTCTTTCTGTCTCTCTCTCTCTGCAAATGGCAGAGGAGGCTGGGGAAGGCTCAAAGAGCTGCATGCGGCTCCGGAGCCGCAGGTTGCTGACCTATGCCCTATACTATACCTGTACATTTGGTTTTTCTTGCCTAAATGTAGAACCTTACTTTTTTCACCACTGAATTTCATTTTGTTAGATAGCACCCAGTGTTCAAGTCTGTCCAGATCCTCTTATATCTTAAGCCTGTCTTCTGGAGTGTTGGCTATTCCTGCCAGCTTGGTGTCGTCTGAAAATTTGATGTCCCCATCTATCCCCTCGTCCAAATCGTTGATGAAGATGTTGAAGAGCACTGGGCCCAGAACAGAGCCCCGGGGCACCCCACTACACACTTCCCTCCATGTAGATGCGGTTCCATTGAGGACCACATGCTGAGTACGGCCGCTCAGCCAGCTACAAATCCATCCCTTGAAAAGTATTCAGAGACTACAGTTGGTCCAGAATGCAGCCGCGCGAGTGATAGTGGGTGTTCCTCGATACACCCACGTTACACCTATCCTCCGTGAGCTGCACTGGTTGCCTATTGGTCTCCGGATCCAATTCAAGGTGTTGGTCATTACCTTTAAAGCCCTGTATGTCTCAGGGCCAGGCTATTTGCGAGACCGCCTACTACCTCATAGTTCCCTACGTCCGGTTAGATCCCACAGGCTGGGCCTCCTTCAGGTCCCGTCGGCCAAGCAGTGCCATTTGGCGGGGCCGCAGAGGAGGACTTTCTCTGTGATGGCACCCACATTTTGGAACCAGCTCCCCCCGGAGATTAGGACCGCTCCCACCCTGTTGGTTTTCCGTAAGCTGCTTAAGACCTGGCTTTTCCGGCAGGCCTGGGGTTTATAAAATCTGACCCTGGATGACTGTTCTTATACTGTTTGTTTTGTTATGTTTTATGTGTTTTTTATTGTTAGCCGCCCAGAGTCCTCCAGGAGTGGGGCGGCTTATAAATTTTAAAAATAAATAAATAAAATAAATAAATCTGGTGGTGATGCTGCCTAACCCACATTTATATATATGCATGTATTACATAATCTGAAAGAAGACACCAGCATAATAATCCTACCAGCAGACAAGGGCAACGCCACGGTGGTTATGAACACATCTGACTACCAAACCAAATTAACCAACTTACTCCAAGACTCTACATACAAACCCCTAAACACAGATCCCACCACCTACCTGGAAAAAACCACTAGATCCAAAATAAAAGCCTCCCCCATTAGCAAGAAATCCAGCAAAGAATCATTCCCAGAGAGAAATCATCCAGATGCCCCAAACTCTATGGTCTCCCCAAGATACACAAAGAAGGAACCCCACTCAGACCCACAGTCAGCTCCATAGGCTCACCTCTACAAAACCTAGTCAAATTTCTCGCCAAACAACTACAGCCCTATGCAGAATCCATCACCTCACATGTAAAAAACTCATTCCAGTTTATAGAGCTTATAAAGAAACAAAACTTACAGCCCAGTGACCTACTCGTGAGCTTTGATGTCATATCCCTCTTCACCCAAGTGCCTATCAAAGAAGCCTTGACAGCTATCCAAAACAAATATAAACCCCCCAAACACATCTTAGATCTGACAAACCACTGCCTATCCAACACAGACTTCATCTATAACGGACAAAAATACAAACAAACAGAAGGAGCACCCATGGGATCACCCCTCTCACCTGTCATTGCAAACCTCTACATGGAACACTTTGAAACCCAAGCTCTAGAAAAATCGGATCACAAACCCAAACTCTGGCTCAGATACGTAGACGACACCTTCATAATCTGGCCACATGGGAAAGAAAAAATGGACAACTTCCTCACACACCTCAACAGCCTACACCCCAAAATACAGTTCACCATGGAAACAGAAGCTAATAACCAACTTCCCTTCCTGGATGTCTTAGTCTACAAGAAATCCAATGGCTCCCTAGGACATATCATCTACCAGAAGAAAACACACACAAACCGCTATCTGCACGCTTTCTCATACCATCACCCAGCACAGATCAACTCCGTAGCCAAGACACTCATCTCCAAAACAAAACGCTTAGCTGACGAACAACACCTAAAAACCGAACTACACACTCTCACCAATGTACTAACATCCAATGGATTCCAAAGAAATAAGATTACAAACCTAATCCAAAAAGAAACCCCCACTAAAATCCAAGACAGAGAACAAGAAAATGGCAAAGCCCTCCTCCCTTACATAAAAGGCACCACAGACAGAATCAGTAAGATCCTCCATAAACACAACATCAAAACAGCATTCTGCACAAACAGAAAAATGTCCACCATCCTAAGAAACCCCAAAGACAGAATTGAGTTAGAAAATCAAGGAGTATATGAAATCCCATGCACCGCTTGTCCCACCACATACATCGGACAAACCAACAGAAGAATAAGTGCACGCATTGAAGAACATAAGAACTCAGTCAAAAAAAAGGAACCAACTTCTTCCCTGGTCCAACACCTTAAAGCCACAGGACATGAAATTGACTTTAAAAATACCAGAACTATCGCCAAAACTGAACATTTTAATAACAGAATAATCAGAGAAGCCATCGAGATAGAAAACTGCCCACACAGCATGAACAAACAAGATGATACCTCCCGCCTACCAGCCATTTGGAAACCCGCCCTTATTGACAAAGGACTCCCTAACACAAAGAATGACACCAGACCCATACTCACTAAAACCACACAGGATGTCACCACCACACATCCATGCAAAAAGCCACACCGATGATGAGGCATGACCACAAACCAGAAGCCAGACCACAGCTGCATCATTAGCCACTTTAAACCCCTCCAATCCATACATGAAGCAAACTGACACCCACCATGAAGATGAGGCACGACCACGAAGCCAAAAAATAGCAAGGCAGCCCACCATCTTAAACCCCCCTGCAACTCAGACTAACCTGAGCACAACAAAGCCCCCAAACAGAACACTCCCCCACCCAATCAGAGCACAGCCAACCCCCCATCCAATCAGAGTACAGCCAACCCCCCATCCAATCAGAGCACAGCCAAACCCCTAACCAATCAGAACACACCTCCACCCAATCAGAACACAGCCAAGCTCCCACGCCAATCAACTGCTCGGAGGGACAACCTCGTGGTGTGTTCCACAGGGTCCCCCTTCCACCATACAGGTACAAGGGAGGGAAAGGGTTGTCACTGCCATCTCTGCTGCTGGTCCCCTCTGCTGCCTCTGGATGCCTTCATCCGACAATCTTGTCCCCCCCGTCCCCCCTCCCATTCGTGGCAAGCAAACAGGGGCTTGACTGCTGAAGGACGCAACTATATTTTAAATAGAATGCTTTCCCACACCAAAAAGTTATAGGTACACTTTGTTTTAAAATCTGAATTAAAGAGACTAATTCCAAGGTGTCTGTATTCACTTTCGTGAACTAAGGAAATCATTATCGTCTTTAAAAGACTATTGTAAATGTTGCATTTGCCAATAAGCAATTTAGTTGAAGAATGAAAAAAAAAATCACACAATGTTTTCCCCATATATATACCTTGGCTGCTGAATAAAGAGTTAAATATGGAGTTTTTGCTATTGCAGCAGCAGAAGTGATATTAATTATAATTCCCTTGGATCTGAAAGAGAGACAAAATATAAAATGTAACATTTGTTGAAACAAAACAGAAGCCTAAAATATACAAATGTTAACTATTCTTATGGCATTCTGTGAAATAAAGATGGAACACAACTAAAAGATGTTTCATTATGAAGTGAACATAGTGATACAGATACTATGTTCATTCCGTGACGATGCTAAGTGAAGGGACTTCCAACCTTGTACCCAAAGTTATGGCCATTGCAGTATCCTTGTAACTGCATAATTAAAATTTGGGCACTTGTCAGTCCAGCATCTTTATGACCAACCACAGGGGAGCTGCAACTGCCCCCACTTCTTTCCTAACAATCTTGGGAAAGGAACCTTATGAACTGTCATGAGGATAGCTCCATAGGAAGGCCATACCTCATATTGGCAGGGCATGCCTGTCAGCAGCTGCAGAAAAATACACATTCGTTTGAACTACATATCTACTACATAGAAAATGAAGCTAGGCAATGGATTTTTCTCTATGCCTAATTATTGCCAAACTAGTACATTGGAAAGCCAAATGTGTAGACATAAACGAGTGGATGAAAGACCTAGTAGTACCTGTGATTTATGAACAAGTACACAGATTATGGATGGATGGTAACATTGAAATTCAGCTTTATCAACACTGTTAACAAGTTTTAATGGTAAAAAATATTCTAATATTGTTAATTAATTAAACAAATACAAATAATGTTCAGATAGTAATAGTAGTAAAGTTGGAAGGGACCTTGGAGGTCATCTAGTCCAACCCCCTGCTCGGGCAGGAAACCCTACACCATTTCGGACAAATGGCTGTCCAGTCTCTTCTTAAAAACTTCCAGTGTTGGAGCATTTACTGCTTCTGGAGGCAAGCTGTTCCACTGATTAATTGTTCTCACTGTCAGGAAGTTTCTCCTTAGTTCTAGGTTGCTTCTCTCCTTGGTGAGTTTCCACCCGTTGCTTCTTGTCCTGCCTTCAGGTGCTTTGGAAAATAGCTTAATTCCCTCTTCTTTATGGCAGCCCCTGAGATATTGGAATACTGCTATCATGTCCCCCCTTGTCCTTCTCTTCGTTAAACTAGACATACCCAATTCTCGCAACATAGATAACATAGTAAATCAGATTGAATGGCTAAATGTGGAATGCTGACTTCCGGTTCGTCACACAGCCGCCATGGATGGTTGGGAGACTTGTTCTCTCTCCCCCATTCAGTTTCGCATCACTGGGGGGCCCTGAAAAGGGCTGAAAGTCACCCCGAAGAGGCGACCAGCAAGGAGGGGCTTTCGCTGGATCCCGGGAGAGCAGCAACTCTTCCGTCAGATCAGGCGATTCCTCCAAACCAACAGACGAAAGGATCGGCCATAGAAATGTGGCTCGTCCCTAGGCTGCAAACAGCCGAAGTCACACTACCATTTGGCAACTTCAAAGCAGCATGGACAGGTTTGCCTCTCTTACATCCTAACTACTTAATTACCTGCATAAGCTGCTAAAGTATTTTCCCCCCTGTGGTGAGGGAAGGGGGATTCTAGCCCTCTCTCCAGAAACAGCAGCTATCAACTACTTGGGAGTTTAAAACGCTGGAAAAATACTGAGATCTTAATTGGAATCCTATTTCCTAAAATTGGTGGATTATAAGATTTGCAACTTTCTGCTCTCTCTCTCTCTCTCTCTCTCTCTCTCTCTCTCTCTCTCTCTATATATATATATATATATATATATATATATATATATATATATATATATATATATATATATATATATTCTTCCTTGATTTTTATTCTAATTACTATTGAAGATTTGGGTTTTTTTCCCCCTTAGAATAGAGCGGGGGGAAAAACTCTAAAAAGATCCAACTAATTCTAAGACATAACCTGCTATTCTCTAAGAGACTTGTTGACAACTTTGAAAATAGATAAGATATAAAAAACCTTGAAACACCATCTGCAAAATTCAGCTCAGCTCCCCTTTTGATGGACTTTCTGACTGTCAGTTTCTTTTTCTTGAGTTTAATATATTACAATGGAAGGAGAACAAGAAAGGATTTCTTCTACAGAGGAAGTACAGGAACAAATTCTTTGTATGTTAAAAGCGATGATCCAAACTCTACGTATGCAAGCTCTGGATATACAAACTCAAACTATAACTTCAATCAAAGAATTATCAGGATACTACTATACAGATAACAATAAAGCTGTATGTAATTTTATCATATTTTTACTAGTCTTCTCACAATATGAATACATAAAGTGATCAACTAGGTATATTCTAATTTTATCAATGTTTTTCTCTTTACCACACTCAAAGAAAACATAGTATCTATAATGCTCCAATTGTTGTTATAGTAACCTTTGTTTATACAACTGAAAGTAAAATGATAAAAAGGTGCCTTATGGAATGCAATTTAGCTTGAATGGGGCAAAGAATATAAAATTTGTATACAAGTTCATATCGAACTAAAGGCACTATCATCACATTGAAAATTGTACCACATATATCGTTCATTCCAGATATGGGTATAAAGTAATGGTGCAAATAGCATTTGATCTTAAGTTGCAGAAATGATAAGTCCAAATAATTTGGAAGTACTTCAGTCTGATTTAATGTCTGAATTGGGCCTGATGTTGACAAAATATATTGTTGGACAGGGTGGGGTTAGGAAGTATTCACTATCTTTGCTGTTAAATAAATCCAGTAAGCAGGGTGAAAAATGCTATTCCCAGACAAAATATGTTTATTCAAAACAAGAGAGTTACTGACAATGAATAAGAGTAAATGTAAAACTAAGGTCCAATTCTCTTTCTCTTCACAAAACTGTTAAAACAGGGTGAATTGCTTGCAGAGCTTAAAAGTTCTTCTGCACAGTGAACAAAAGTAACCACAACAAAAAAACAATGCCTTTAAAATCAGGAATTAGAGGTTTATTGAGGATATAGATTCAAACTGTTGGAAAGTGCCAAGAATGAAGTTCCAGGTACACTGTGGATTCTGAATAGGAGAATAAATATTGAGAAGATTTTTCAGGAAAAGTTTCATAACGGGAAGAAAAGAAATTAACCAACATGGTAATTTTGCTAAAATTTTAGCAAAATAAATTCTGTTAGATGGTGATCTTCCTAGTCTCAAAAAATCCTAAAGATGATGAGATGAAATGAAGAGTGTACTAATAGCTGGAGATAGAGAAGCACTTCTTGAAAATTTTAGTGTCAAACAATTCAGAACTTAAGGAATGTAGTCTCCTCCATTGAAGTTCTGCAATACATTCATGGGTCTTGAAGTACATACTATACATATGGATATTACAGCCCAATTATCACAGTTTATTCATGAACTAATTAGATTTATATGGGCTACAATTGATTGGGCTGTCAGCAAAAGTTGAGATTACATTTATCAATGCAAAATAAGATATCTGCTATACAAATACTAAAATACAGTAAAATCATAGAGAAAACCTAACATATGTAGTGCTGTAATATGTAGATGCGAACAGGTTTTCTATTAAAGCTCTTTTCGAGTGCTTGCAGAAAGCACACAGCATAAGCGTGGATTTAATTCCTGGCAGGAGTTGTTCCATAGTGCAGGCACCCCACTAAAACAAATTTCAGTTGCACCAGAGTCAACAAAATGCTTTGTTGCTTTGTATGGATAAGCCCTGTTTGGACATCTTTATAATCAAAAACATATGAAGAAGAGCAGCCATTTTTATTCCAATGAAAATGATAGTGGCAAAGAATGAAAAAAAGAGAGTATCAGAAAGCCAGAGCAATTCTTTCTTTCCATTACATCTAAATATCTACACTCCTCTTCAGATGGAGCATAGTAAGGTAAAACCAAAAAGGAGGGGCAGGTATAATTGATGTAGCATATAATTGGAGGTAGTGATGCCTGCATCAAGAGTGAAGGATAGGGGTGCCTCTCTTTATTCATTTTCAGAAGGCTTATGCAGATGCATGCTTAAAATGATACTTGTGCACTTTCCTCTTTGATTACAACTCATCAAGAAAATAACCCAGCTAGTTACCAGAAAGTATGGTTAGATGCTGTTGATAGTGCTGGTAACTCCTCCATAAACTGGACTGTCTAAGTCACAGGTATTGTATAGATTTATCTATAATAGGGTTTAGGGGCAAACATATTTTTACCAGATCAGTTTAATAAACCGTGAGCAAGGCAGAAGTATACTAAATGTCCTTTTCCAAGATTTAGAATTTTTAGAGAATACTATTTAGAAAGTTGTTCTTATATTTCAAAAACTTTTAAAGCAATGTTCCTATTGCTATAAGTGTTGCTTTACAGGAAATGCTAGTGGTACTACCCTTGACTGTAGAAATAAGAGAAAACAAAATTAATATAAGCATATGGAAAAAAATAAATCAAGCAAAGAACAAAAACAATTCCTTATTTTTTGCCAGAGAAACACAGGGGAAGAACCAAATGGTGTTATAGGTACAACAAGTGAAAAGGAACTGAGTCTCATTCTTAGGTACATGTATACCTTTCACCACAATCTGAGTCACTGAATGGATTGCACATGGTGCAGAACTATCAATAATGTGTTAGATAGTAAATATGAAAAGCTAAATGGGAAACTTAGTCCTGAGAATGTGACAAAGTTCAACTCAGAAGCATTCCAAAACTGTGAAATTGATATGGGGAAGACCTATTCTTTGTCTCACCTATCAAATCCAGGAGACTGCAGCAAGAAAAGAAGACTTCAGCACCAATTTTAGTTTCAGCAAGTGTTTATGTGAAACCAAGGAAGATCTTGCTCAATCAATCAATGCTTTAAACACTCAATAGGGAAAAATATGTTCCATGGCCAAAATCTCTTAAGGTTTTTTCCTTTCTTTCTCCAACGATGAATAGATCTGGACAAATGAGCCTGGATACAAAAATGGACGATTTTGCAAAGGAGGAAAGAAACTGCAGAGAGCAGAAGACACTTTAATGCAGAACCAAATACTGTGGTTCAAAAAGAACTGAATGAGGAAGAAAGATACTAATGATAGCATGGTTTTCTGTGTCCATTTTGAGGAATATAACTGGAAGGAACTCAGCAAGGAATAATTTTTAATTTTCAGAAAAATTATCTACCTCATGTAACAATGGCATAAATGGAAAAATGCCAAAAGTACGAACTATACTAACACTGAAATATTGCAATCTCTTAGCCCCCCATTATTCCAGAGCCTTTTGCTTTTGTGCACACATTTTCTGTTCCTGCCATATAAGTAGAGCTTGTTCTCTCTATTCTCTCTGTTTTCTTTTCACTGACACTCAGGAAAGGCTTTAAGGTTATTCCCAGGAATATCCCAGAAACATAGCCACCCCCACAGAATAGCTTGTTGTTGAGTTCTCACTGATGAGTCATTCAGGCTTTTAAATTCCATTTTAAAAAGAAATCACCAAACAGTGGAAAGAAAATAAAAAAGGACATCAAGTAAAGATAGGCTTTCACGGTCTGATGATTCATATACCCAATCCCATGACTCACACAGGATTACATTACCAATAAAACATGGAGGCCTGACTGATTAGTCACAGTAATGAATTTTTCAAAGAAAGGATTTTCCCCTATAAATAATAATGGCTGTCTGGATGTGTTTATGTGACTCACCTTTCCACCATGCGAGGAAGCACCAATTGTGTCATCTGAAAAAAATAAGAAAAACGATTGAGTAATATGCAGAAAACAGACTGAGGAAAGCTGTCTCACAAAACAGCTGACCTCTCTTCACCTCAAGGAATTATAGAAGACTTTGAAGGCCGTCACTTGTATGGCAGTGTATTTTTATTCTACTTATACATTGTGGGTCTTTGATAAAATATGTTGAGCAACTCAGATAAAAGCTGCACTTATAAACAATTTAATGCCTTATTAGAGAATAGATTCAGAACTTCTGCATGTTACACAGATGAGTTTCATCAAATATCTATTGCTAATACCAGACAGTGCAAGAAATAAATTTAATTAATATCGCTGCAACAAAAGCAAAAGTGGTTGAACAATGCAATTGTCTGAGAGGAATCAGGAATGGCAGTCTAGACCACTTAAAAGATTATGGAACAAAAGTCAACTGATCATGGATTACAATTCCCATATGTCTCAGCCAGCATGATTAAGTGGGAGCTTATATCAGGTACTTCTCATAATTCATTCCATCTTACATGAAGAAAAGGCACAGGATAGATAAGACAAAAAACCCGAATAACATTTTCCAAGCTGTTGATCACAGAAAGAAACCAAAACCTTTTGTTTTGTGATTTTTTAACGGTAAAAATTTCCATTATTTTGTAATCACTGAGAGTGAGTTAGGTGGCCATATAAGTAAGTAAATAATCTAGAAAAGCAAGCCACTGAAAGAGCTAGAATCATTCTACTTTGCAACACATCACCTAGTGCTGCCGTTTATCTTATGCAACAATTTGTATTAGCCAGCTTTTAACATTAAAAAGTGATTCTAAAAAAATAGCTTTCTTACTTACTTATTTCTGATATGAAATAAATTGTCGTATCAGAAAAATTGGTTCTCTAGCCAAAGCTATGAGGAATTTAATCTGTATTTTAAAGTATCAAATCTAAGTATAGTGTACTATAGCAGTTACTATTAAAAAAGAATGCATTTTATCAAAAAATATAAGCTACTGTTTTTTACAGCACAATCGCCATTATGAGAATATGATACAATCTCCAAGTTCCATTTTTAATCTAATTCAAAATGCAAGTTTTATGGCCATAACATCTGCCCTAATGTTGAACTTCTTCTGCCACCTGTTCCCCTAGTACACAGTCTGTCAAAGAACTTAGGAAAATGTAAACCATGCAAAATTTTCTGTGACATTTCATTGTTAACCCTTTAAAAATTACATTTGTTGTTTATGATAAATTATCATGCAATTACTTGAATTAGATAATTAGAATTAGTGACAGATGATTACATTTCAGATACAAAATGTAATGGAGTATATTAAGGCCAATTTAATGTGTGTGTGTGTGTGTGTGTGTGTGAGAGAGAGAGAGAGAGAGAGTAATGGAGTATATTAGGGACCAATTTAATGTCTGTACATGTGTGTGTGTGCGCACACACACACACACATGCTCAGCCAGGTGGAACCTACATGTTAAATGTTAATTTTAATTATTTAATGGACCACTTTTTTCTCCTTTTTTGTACATTATTTTTTTCTTCTTTTGTTGTAATTAGGACTGAATGTATGTTTTTGATGTTTCATTTTGTTTTATTGTTCTGTATTTTATTCTCTATGATAAAGCAATAACTTATAAAAAGATTTCTGTCTATATTTGAGAATGAAGGAAATTGCTTAGAGGAAAAAAAAGAAGAGAGAAAATAAAGAAACACTAATATCAGACTGTTATAGAATTATTCTACATACCTCAAAATATATGAATTATTTAGGCTTAACTCATAGTTATTTAGGCTTAGATAACTTTGGTTACTGATGAAAAGCAAGATTACCCAATTCTTACATAAGAAATATAAACTTCTCTCTATTTCCAGCCTTCCTAGGTGGGCCAGAAATGGCACAAATGAGAAATAAAAATTTTCATAAAAGCAAACTTTTTTGGGGGAGGGGGGACAAGATCAGAGAAGAAAACAGATGGGATAGAGAAACCTTACAGAACCACCAGCAGTGGCTACAGAATGCTTGAAAAGTACAAATTACTTCAGTGGACATGAGTCCTGGATACACTATATTGTCATGTGCATGATACGGATGCAAAACTTGACTTCCTCAAGCATGTAAGGTCTACATCAATGATTTGTGATAATGGAAAATAGTTCAAACAGGAAGAGATAGCTTTTTATGCTACCCAAGACAATATTTCCTACACTATCCTTTATTGCTATATTTATTTTATTTATTTATACTTTGCTCTTAGCCTGAAAGTATTCCAGAGTGAATCTACAGAATACAAATAAGACAAGCTCTGCCCTCAAGAGTAGCTTAAGTGGGGAGTGGCAGGAATCCCAACTAAGTGCAGGGGTGACCTAGACTAGTGGGAAAGTGTCATGGGGGGGGGGGAGGGGAAGGTCCTGAGTGGGTCAGTTCAGTGAGTGAGTTGGGGAAACTGAGGGAGAGCTTGGGAAGCCCAGCACAGGGTATACACATGTGTAGAAAGGCCAAGGGATGGTGAGGTGAAGTGGGGCGGGAGCACAAGAATGCCAAGGGTTGGATAGCATGGAGGAGTGTTAGCACATGCAGCCAAGGGACTTACCAAAGCAACTTCTGAGCTTTCCTGTCTGTTTCCCTATTAACTTTGCTTGTGGAAAGCAGACAGGGAAAGGTGCAAATGGCGATCCCATAACAATGGAACACTGCAACCATAGTAAGTGTGAACCACTTACCAAGCTCCCAAATCACAATCACATGACTGTGGGCTGCTACAATGGCCAGAACCTTGTGGGCCGGTAATAGGTATGTTTATTCAGTGCTGTCACAACTTTGAACAGTCAGTAATCCAGGACTACCTGTAGTCCAAACTTGGTTAAAATATGTATGTTTAAAAAATAGTTGACGAGTGAATGGGCCATATTTCAGGTTCAAAGTTATCTTAACGCAATATTTAACACACTCTGAGAGATCCTCTCCTACATATCCCTGTGAGCACTCCTACTAGCAAATGACAAAATTAATGGTGTTAATAAGCAGAGGATAATTCACACTCCTACTTATTTAAAAGAAAAAAAAACATGTAATAACACAATAATAAAAATAGTTTATATGGTATCATGTATCATTTTCCAGTAGAGGCCTGCAACATTTACTGTTTCTAGAAAGCGATTATACTTAAACTCAGATGAAATAAAAAGCTGTATTCATTATAGAAATAACAAATTAGGAATAGTGAGGAATGCCGGTTGTTCTCTTCATATCAACACCTTTTTAGTAGATTTATACGTCTGACCTCAACTTTTGATAGAAGAGGTTTGCTCAATTTCAAAAGACAGAGAAACATTGCCTTGAGATTTTGAAATGAGAATGCCTCACAATATTGTTTGGGGGAAATGGCAAGAATATGCCATTCTCTTAAGCACAGAAAGTAACAGTCTTTGTCTTTCAAAGTGGAAAGGTCAGGCTTCCAAATGAAACATTTTTAAAATGATATCCAGAGAAAAGGGAGAAGAAATGCCTGAAACATCTAATATAACTTAAAAAAAATTAAATGGAAAATGAAATAAAAGGAAATGAATGAATAAAACTAAGTAGAAAAAATATGCAGGGCATTACTGAGATTTAATTTGCCATATGAAAAGAAACAACCGGAAAAACCATGAAATATGATTCTTTAAAAAGTGTTACACGTCCATCTGCTGCAGGTAGTCCTTGACTTACAATAGTTTGTTTAATGACCGTTCAAAGTTACGATGGCACTGAAAATAATGACTTATGACTCTTTTCCACACTTGCAACTTTTGCAGCATCCCTGTCTCACACAATCAAAGTTTGGCTACTTGGCAACTGACTCATATTTATGACAGCTGTAAAATGCCAGCATCATCACCTCAAGACTGGATTACTGTAAGGCGCTCTACATGGGGCTACCCTTGAAGGGCGTTCGGAGGCTGCAGTTGGTTCAGAATGCAGCCGCGAGAGCGATTGTGGGAGCGCCAAGGTACGCCCACGTGTCACCTATCCTCCGCGAGCTGCACTGGCTTCCTGTGGGTCTCTGGACGCAATTCAAGGTGTTGGTTATCACCTTTAAAGCCCTTCATGGCATAGGGCCAGGTTACTTACAGGACCGCATTCTGCCGCACAGTTCCCAGAGACCGATGAGGTCCCATAGATTGGGCCTCCTTCAGGTCCCGTCGGCCAGACAATGTCGGCTGGCGGGCCCTCGGGGAAGGGCCTTTTCTCTGGTGGCTCCAACCTGGTGGAATCAACTTCCCCCCAAGGTTCGAACTACTCCCACCCTGCCGGCCTTTAAGAAAGCCGTTAAAACTCTCCTGTTCCGGCAGGCCTGGGGCTGATGTCCCTGGGGGGGGGGGCGAGATATGATCGGACTCGCGGTATGACTGTATTATTTTATTGTTTTATGATTGTTTTAATTCTGTACGCCGCCCTCAGTCCTTTGGGATTGGGCGGCATATAAATAAAATTAAATAAATAAATAAAAATCTTTTGCAACCTTCTAACAAACAAATCAATGGGGAAGCCAGATTCACTTAACAACCATATTACTTACTTAACAACTGCTGTGATTTACTTAATTGTAGCAAGAAAGTTCATAAAATAGGGCAAAACTCACAACAACTATCTCGTTTAGCAACAGAAATTTTGGGCTCAATTGTGGTTGTAAGTCAAGGACTACCTGTATTTCTGATGTTGCATATTGATACCTTCTACATACCACTTTTCCAGAGTAAGAAAACATTTTGTTTTAAATAAATATCAAAACAGTCTGGCAGGCTGAGGTATGAACAACTTCAAGTACATTTTACCTTTTCTTCTCCTGGAAAGCCTTATGCTATTAACATATGTAAAACACTTCTAGAGGCTGCTAGAAAAAATGGACTTATGGAGAAACTCTAGAGGGAAGCCTGTATAATTGAACCTGCTTTACAGAGAGGAAATTGCACAGAAATTGTTTTAGACAAATACTTTTATTACTCTATATGCAATATAGTCAATTCTCCTGCATTAGCACAACTTCCCAAAATGGCACTTACCTTGCACATAGATAGGCTATTAACATTTATCATCTTGTCAATTTGCTGTAATGGGGAAAAAACAAAACAGAATTATTATGAATTCTTGATTTAAAAGTTTGCAGCAACTAAGGTGACTAGAGTATATACCATGCACAAATTATCTGATCAAATTTGGGAGCTCAATTGGCATATTGGTAATTTATTGATCTGATGTGATTTCTGGATCCAGAATTCAAAGTTACAGTACTGCAGAATCAGAAATTTAATTCATTTTTCTTGGCAGAATTGATACAACCATGCTATATCAATGTATTATCTCAAACTTTGTTTTCTAAAAATATTTAATTTAAAATATGCCTTAAAATTATCATTTAAGGCAGAGGTCCCCAACCTTTTGGGCACCAGGGACCGGTTCTGTGGAGAGAAGTTTTTCTGCGGACTAGAGAGTGTGTGGTTTTGTGTGCTGCCTGCATCCTGTGGATGGGGCTTTGCTTGTTTGTGCGGACCAGTTGCTGGCATGCCGTGGCCCGGTATTGGTCCACGGACTGGGAGTTGGGGAACCCTAATTTAAGGTCAAATTGTCTTGAAATTTTCATGGATATAATCTCTAACTAAAGTCAGAGGGGTTTTTTTCTGCAAAAGAAAGGGATGATATCCCTTCTTGAATGCAGAGGACATGATTATTGAGACTGATATGGAAATATAAGGGATTAATTCACTTCTTTAACCTTGCTAAATATAGTGCTTTGAAAATTATAGATTATAGCTCCAGCATCTCTGAATTAAACTAATGTTCAGACTAGATGGCCTGCAGACTGAATGAAAAAATAAAATTATCACACTTAGGATGAATAATTATGAAAAAATGGAGCACAGCCATGTGAAGCAAATGATAAAATTAAGACTCTCCACTTCGTGATCTCTTCACCTGCAAGATCCTGCGATTGGTTTGAGCCTAATTGCACAGATTGTTGTGCTTTGATAACAAACTTATATACATGATATGTATATAAATTATTAATGCTTCTCTCCCTTTTCTACAACATCATAAAGCACAAGAAAAAGAGATTAAGACTGGACTTTATTGATACCCAACATTAGAATGCACTGGGTTCAGGCTTATCCACTCAACATTGGGAATGAAAATGTGACTCAAATGATTCCCTTTCCCCTTGGCATTTCCCCAAATTACACTCACATTCATCACGTGTCAGATGTGCCCATTTTGAATGGAAAATCTGCTATTGTTTGTTTTAAATGTTTTTTATTTTATCACAGATAGATAATTGTTTTATGTTTGGGTTGTGAGCTGTCTAGAGTTTCAGTCAAGATGGGCCTCTATAAAATGTTTTAAATGAATACATTCATTCATTCGTCGAGGATTTAAGAATGAGTCTTGATGGTAGAGACGTTGCAAATACAAGTCCTGAGTGGACTGAGAGACAAAATCTTCTTAAAACAAAACTCAAGAGAAGGTGGCTGAGGAAGCAGTAGAGCAAAAGAAGACATAAAAGGCAGATAAGGTAAAGACCGAAAGAAAAGCAAATCACAATTTGAAATAGCAAATATCTATATACTTTTTGGATCCAAATTACATGCTTGTGTGATCAAGGAGCAAGTACAACTTTCTATTGTTTTTTTCATCTTGCTTTTCAAAGCAGCTTAAAGAAGTCATACATAATAATCTACTTTCTCATCTTGAATACTTGTGTGAAGTGTGACATAAAACAATTGAACATAAATTGGCAATAAATCAAATCCTTTAGGTCAGTGGTTCTCAACCTTTCTAATGCCGCGGCCCCATAATACAGTTCCCCATGTTGTGGTGACACCCAACCACTTATACATCACCGGGTGCCAGAGGCGTGGCGAAAGGGGGAAAAAATGGCAGACAGCCTTGTTTGGCAACCCCCGTGAAATGGTCATTCGACCCCAAATGAGGTCCCGACCCACAGATTGAAAACCACTGCTTTAGGTCAGGATTGTCAAACTGCCGGCCTGTGGGCCGGATGCATCATGCCGAAACTGTGCCCACTCCATTGCCAGCAATGGCAAAAAAGTCACAACACGTCACATGACACCCCTGCTTTAGGTATTGTTTGGGGAGCTGGGGTGAAATTTTTACCATCATAGATTTTCACTTATCGAAATATAGTTAATATAAAGTACATAGTAATTAATTTATTTAAAAACTTCATTTTACTATTTTATGTGATATTGCTTAACTATGTATATGATACATCTTATATGCATTTTACCAATTAAAGGGCAGCTCAGACAATCATGTTATGTTAAACACAAAGCAATTCCTATTCTTTATGGCCAGTAGAGCAACCTCAATTATTATTTTTTTGCATGTGAAACACAACCAAAATAAGATATTTCTACAAAACTGAGAGAAAAGGATGTAAATGCAACATTAATTCAAACAAGACTAATGCCCTTAATATTGGGGGTTTTAATCAATGTATTGAAGGTATAAAGATGTGAAGTATCCTGACTCCTTGAATTAGGATTAGTCATTATACATTTTAATTTGAAATTAATGAACTGTTCATAGGACTGTTTCTAAATCTAGGGAGGGGGGATGCTAATAGGTTCTTATTCATACTTTTTCAATTATGATTCTATTAACAAATCAAATAAAACCAAATCAAATATTTAAATTTACTATTAAATATTAATTTTAAAAGACAGGTGTGGAAGGAAAAGAATACTTACTCTATCTAAATTTGGAATCTCAAGGAAATATTCAGGATAATCATATGAAGCACCCACGTTGTTCACTGAAACATAAATAATTTTAAATATACACCTTGAATGTATCATGTTCAAAAATTAAAGTTTTGAGAGCACTGTGTTTAGCAAATAGTTAAGTAGCATGTCACTGACATCCCTAGTTCCTATAAGCATCAATGCTTGAGATTATGCATTTAATAAAGTTTTTAAATATGTTATTAATCAAGGCAAAGAACAGCAATGAACACAAAAAGACTGTCAATACTGTCACTTCTATTAAAATCATAAAGCACCAGAAAGGCTAATTTGGTTGGATCCAGGCTTAGCCATACTTACAACAGATTCCTGATTGTTTTCACACATGACACAAAACCAGGATTGTCTACTATGGTTAATTTAACAAGTCATAATGGCCTGGATCACCCATAACACTAAGCTATGACAAGATGATTCATCTGTTAAGCTAAGCCAAATAGCTTAATTATTTTGTTTGATGTGTGAATTTTGCTGCTGAAATCAGTTTAATCCTGGCCTACCAACTTGGAAACGACTATAATTTATAATTATAAATTAAATAACAGATTAAAATATAGCTTCTCAGTTTAGTTATAGCAAATTAACTGTTCCACTATGCAGGAACAATCCCAATTTCTTTATCCTAAAATATGGTTCACTGGACTAAGTTAAGTTTGGATCAAGTCACTGTAAAGTATGATTTTAAAAGAATGCAAATGCTAACTTATATAACTGTGTTTATGATTGGTACATAGAGCTAAGAAAATGTTACCAGCTAAAACAGTGTAACATACAGCAGTTCTTACAATGAAGAACTTTATATGTCAATACACTCTAGTTACTGAACTTTAAATGACATATAGTAGTCCAAGAGATTAAATTTTAAAACAATGCAAACAGCAACATTCTAGCAAACATGTTAGATAAATGTAATTGAACATTCAACCTAATTACATGGCAATATAGAACTGAATTTGTATTTATCAGGCAACTCATAAATTATGAATTGTAGTCTCATTGCTCTTAAACATAAAAGCATTGCCATTTTTGCCAATAAAACACAGTTCTATGAAAAAAATCTTTTGGATAATCTATTTTTTTTTTTTTTGCATCTCCTTGTACTGACACACTGATTAACAAATAACCTTGTGTACAGCTAGACTCTGTGAAAAAGCATTCACCTCTCTAGTTTAATTAATTAAATTAAATAACTATGGCCAATATGAGTACTTTACTAAACCATCACAAATGATTTGAAATAATCCTATACTATATAAATCTCATAAACTTTGGCACCCTTTATCTCAGTGAAATTCTCATCACATCGATTCTATAGATATGTCATGATCCCATTTCTGAAGAGTTGCATTAAAAAGTCACTGCCTATTAGTTTGAGGAAAGTTACAAAATGATTTCTAAATACTGGGGCACAACCAATCCTCAGAGACAGAGTTTTGAAATGGAGAAGACTTGAACCAACAATGAATCTTTCCAAAAGTGGCTATTCTGTAAAAACCATAAAAGAAAACAGTGTAAAATTGTCCAGGAAGTCGTAAAACAGTGGTGGCGAACCTATGGCATGGGAGCCAGAGGCGGCACTCAGAGCCCTCTCTGTGGGCATGCGTGCCATCACTGGGTTTTATAAAACCTTTTCGCTTTAGGCCTCTGCCGTGTACAAAAAAAAAAAAAGGTTCAATCTATCAGTCAATTTCAACTTCTCGCGGGAAAAAAAAGATCTTGCAAAGTTGGAATTGATTGAACTTTTTAGTCCTACCCAGTCTGCTATTACCACCGCAGCCACGCCTACCCAATGGGCCACACCCACCCAATGGGCCACATCCATCCGGCACCCGATGAGGCATGTGGGTTTTGGGTTGCAGTTTGGGCACTCGGTCTCTAAAAGGTTCACCATCACTGTCATAAAAACTTCAGAACAACATCCAGAGGTCTGCAGGCTTCTCTCGCTAGGGTTTATCCATCAGAAAAGTACCAAGTAAAAATGAAATTCATGGAAGAGAATAAAACCCAAGAACACTGATGCTCATTTCAAATTTGGAAAAAGAAAATAAAACAAAACAAATTTCCCCCTAAACTCAGCACTTGGATGACTGGATGATTGACTGATGAATCAAAAGTGAATCGTTCTGGGCTACATGGATATCATTATGTACAGCAGAAATCATACAATGCACTCCACAAGAAGAATCGCATACCGCTGTCTAGCCTGGAGGTGATTGTGTAATGGTTTGAGGATGCTTTTCTGTCTCAGGATGTGGACAACTTACCATTGTTTAAGAAAGATCTGCTTTGTTTCAGAAAAATTTACAGGGAATATAAATCTCTTCATAAGCTGAAGCATAATGGCAGCAGATAGTGATTGTCAACAAGAAGTCAGCCTTACAAGAGAATGGATGAAGAATAAATACAATGTTTTGAACCAACCAAGCAGAGGTCCATGGAAATAGTATGGCTATACTAGAAAATCTTCCAATGTTTTTGAGTTGAAACAATATGCCATAGAAAATAATGTTTCAAATTCCTACATAGTGATGTAAGAGATTGAACACCAATTACAGGAAGCATTTGGTTGCAGGTATTGCAATCAGTTATTGAATCTAATGGGGTCGCTGGTCACTGCAAGGTGGATGATTTTTTAAATATACTGAACAACCAAACTTTCATGTTATTTATTTACTCACAGACATTTCATATATCAACAAGCTTACATGAATTTAATAATATTCAGCAACAATGATACGCAGAAATTCAAAATAACCAAAAGGAGGTAAATACTTTTGCACAGAACTGAATATGCCTTTTCAAAATTGGCTCCAGAAAATAAATGAATAAAGTTTATTAACTATCGTATCAGCCTTCTTTCATTCGGATGCAAATTTTAACTACTTATTTTCTACTTCAAATAAGCATCCATTAACTGTACCTAGAGAACCAGTTTGGTGTAATAAGTAAAGGCACCTGGTTAGAAACTAGGAGACTGTGAGTCTAGTCCTGCCTTAGGCATGAAGCCAGCTGGGTAACTTTGGGCACTCATTCACTCCTAGGAAGAAAACAATGGCAACATCCTTCAGGAAATCCTGCCAAGAAAACTACATGCATTTCTCCAGGCGGTCATCAGGAGTCTCTCTCTAATCAGTTGAATTATTTTACAACCGATACTGTAAAACTACTGTATGATTATTTGCTCTAATATGCCAAATTGCTATCATGAGCTGCACATCAATATCATTTATAGCCCTATTAAGAGTATTTGTTCACGATGTCTAAGAATAAATGATACTCTTCAACTGAGACTGAATTAGACTATAGAACATTAGATGGCAGTATAAACCCACACATGGTGTACATGATCTTTGAAATCTCTCAATAAGGAATATTTGAGTGGAGTGAGGAAAACAAAAAAGACGGAAGTATAAGAATAATGCAAAACAGTGTCCTTATTATTAAACATTTTCTTTCGGCCACAATTTCTTGTTTTTAAGTTGTTTTGTGTTTTGTTTCCATGTTTCTAAGAGGTCCATTTTTTATAGATTAATTAAATGTAAGTGTTCTGAATTTTTTTTCACACAATCTATGATGTTCCAGTCATCACCAATCAATTAAATAGAACTTCCGTTCGATATAATTTCAATCTAGGTTTTTCATGAAATATTTTTGGTTATCGGAATTACCACTCACTTTAAATGAGTCTTTAAAAAAAAAAAACCCTGGTATCTCTGAGTGGTAAATGGTTGTTTTCTTGGGCTCAAGAACAGAGATAGACAGTATGTTGAAGCAGTAAAGAGATTACTCCTCTAGAAGAGGGCAATGACAAAATTTAACAAGATCATGAAGAATGAGGGTACTGAAATGACAAAAATAGTTTGTGGTAGCAATATATGGATAAGAAAATTGGTCACTGATAAAAATAAGGACAGAGGCCTAATAAAATATGGACTTAGAGGTGATTGCTAAAAGTATCATGAGCCTCAAGAAAAAGAAATCAACCAGTCATAGATTAAATGCTGCACCCTTGAGCAGATGGTCAACAAGCAAAAGTGTGCATCCTTTGGACATGTGATGTGAGTAGATGGTTAGTGTTGTTGTTAATTGCGAAGTCGTGTCCGACCCATCGCGACCCCATGGACAATGTTCCTCCAGGTCTTCCTGTCCTCTACCATCTTCTGGAGTCCATTTAAGTTCACACCTACTGCTTCAGTGACTCCATCCAGCCATCTCATTCTCTGTCATCCCCTTCTTCTATTGCCCTCAATCTTTCCCAGCATTAGGCCCGTCTCCAGTGAGTCCTTCCTTCTCATTAGAAAAATGATTGTGTTTCCCAACATTGAAAAGAAATGAAACACTATTCTTCAATTGTTTTCATTGCATGGAATCTGTTGGCTAAATAATAATGTAATGTTTTATGGATTTGTTTATAGATAAGAGATGGGATAAAGGATGAAGAGAGAAATGTTTGCATCTTTAGAGAGGATGAAGAGTTACTGGTACTAAATTTGTTTAAACTTTTGTGATGAAGCTTGGAACTCATTCTTTATACATTTGTTTCCTCTTTTTTATTATATTCTTACCTTTTCTTTTTTTCTTGCACTTTTTACTACTTTATTCTTTATTGTCTTTCCTTTAAGTTTATTTTGTATTAACTTTCACTATTATAATTACAATTTTTAATAATAATAATATCCCAGAGCTTCTGATCAAAAGGCAACTGTCTAGTGATAGAAAATTGGTTGCATTTGAAGGAACTTTTTTTTGGTCCTTTGTCTCACATGGAACCATAATTAAATTCCCATGAAAGCCTAGGTTTCCATGGAACACAGTTTGAAAAATTCTGAGCTAAAACTGGAAGACCACAAGATGAATGGGACAGATATTATTTGAATGTCCTCATAAGAGCTATTGTTAGTGACTGGAAAAAAATTGGAGTCTTTCAGGAGTTTGGAATGTCCCACAGGGCATCTTCTTTGCCTGTCATTATGGAGGCTTCATGGGTGTAGTCCCTTTTTGCTGTGCTGCTAGGCCAAGATGAGGTGCTTATGGCTTTTTCCCCTGGCACTGCACTTGCATCGCACTGCACTACCACCACCCACCCAATTAATTTTTTCAGTCTGTGCCAGGCCTTCTAGGAACTCCAACCTGAGGCCCTCAGCTCCACTTAACAATTGCACCTGGGAGAAACAGGATGCCATCATAAAGTTATCTCATGTCACATGGTGATCCACTTTACAACCACAATGACTTATAACCATAATTCCGGGCTCAGTTGTGATGTAAGTCAACTACCTGTAAAATTAGAAGAACAATTGGACATGTTTTTTAAGTTAAACAAGAAGGAAGATAACAATTTGCCAAAATTTATGGGATACAGCCAAAGCCTACATGAGGGGCGTTGCCATTTCTTATATGGCTAGGCAACATAAAATCAAAACACAACGTCAAAGACAATTAGAAGAACTACGTAAAGTTGAGGAAAACCTGCAAAAGGAACCACAAAGATGTGATCTGAAGCAACAGATAGATTTAATTAAGCATAAGATGGATATTATCATGAAGGAAGATTTAGGACAGCAGATAAAACATACTAAACAAAATTTCTTCGAAAACGCCAATAAACCAGGGAGATGGTTGGCTTATAAAATCAAAAAACATAACAATAAGCAGAGGGTTACTGAACTTTATAATGCCAAGGGTGATATGGTATAGCAGAACGAAGGAAAGAAACTAGTGGCATATGAGTTTTATAAGAATTTATACAAAGACAACGAAAAAAGAAATAACTATGACATAGTACAGTATTTACAATTAGCTGATTTACCCAAGGTGCCAGAAGAATTTAAAACTCTGCTGAATAAAAAGATAACACATCTAGAACTCCCAGTCGCAATTAAGAAACAAAAGAATAATAAAGCACCTGGGCCAGATGGCATACCTGTAGAAATGTATAAAATTGCACAAGAATCTTTAAGTCCAATGCTGTTGGATTTATTTAATGAGGTTTTAACCCAAGCTAAAACACCAGCTTCATGGGAAGAAGCCTTCCTCACTTTGACTCCTAAAGAAAACACAGACCTGGCGCAAATTAAGAACTATAGATCCATTTCTCTTTTGAATTCGGATTATAAGATTTTCATGGCAATAATGGCGCAAAGACTTGAAAGGTTCTTAGTGGATTTTATACATTCTGATCAAAATGGCTTCCTATCTAAAAGATACATAAGAAACAATGTCAGGACTGTTTTGGACATATTGGAGTATTATGAAGTGCGTAATGAAAAGCAGATGTATTTAATTTTTCTTGATGCACAAAAAGCATTCGACAATGTAAAATGGGATTTTATGTTCAACCAATTATTGTATACGGATTTCAGGGAAAATTTCTTAAATATGTTTAAATCAGTCTATTCTAAGCAGGTGGCCAAATTAATAATCAATGGAGAACCAACGGAGAGCTTCCAAATCCAAAAAGGCACGAGGCAAAGTTGCCCACTATCACCACTGTTGTTCATATTATCTCTTGAGGTATTAACTAGAGCAGTGGTTCTCAACCTTTTTAATGCCGCGACCCCCAACCGGTCGTAAGTCAATGACTACTCAACCGGTCGTAAGTTGAGGACTACTCAACTGGTGCAGCACCATTTGCAGAATGGGACTTTTGGTGGGCTCAGCAGGGCAGAGACAGCCTGGACAATTCCTATTGGCTTTTGAAAGCCAATAGAATTAGACTCTATTCAAGAGAGTCTATTCTATTGGCTAAGGAAAAGGGGGAAGCTAAGGAAAGGGGGAAAAAATGGCGGACTGCGTTGTTTGGCGACCCCCGTGAAATGGTCGTTCGACCCCAAATGGGGTCCCGATCCACAGGTTGAGAACCACTGAACTAGAGTAATTCGACAAGATGAACAAATCAAAGGTTTAGAGATTAAGAAAGAGACATTTAAAATATAAGCCTTTGCAGATGATTTAGTTTTTATAATCGAAGAACCATTACAATCAGGGATAAGATTGATGGAAACACTGAGTAGATATGGGGAAATAGCAGGCTTAACAATAAATAAAGAAAAAACTAAAATGCTCGTCAAAAATATGACCAAAATACAGAAAAATGAATTGGTTGTCAGAATAGGTGTTCAAATTACAAACAAAATTAGATATTTAGGGATACAATTGACTGCTAGATGCGCTACATTTAAAAGGGATAATTATGATAGGTTAATAGAACAGATCCAAAAAGACCTTGATATTTGGACTAACCTACAGCTCTCTTTTATGGGCAGAATTGAGGTGATTAAAATGAACGTGTTGCTGAAAATTTTATTCTTGTTCCAATGCATACCTATAAAACTAGACAAGAATTTTTTTCAGAATTTGAATAAAATGATGCTCAAATTTATCTGGCAAGGAAAAAGAGCAAGGATTAAATTAAAATTATTGCAGGACTCAAAGGAAAGGGGGGGATTTGGCCTTCCAGACTTGGAGAAATACTACCAGGCTATAGCACTAGTATGGGTAAGAGACTGGATATTATTAAAGAACAGGAGACTATTATGTCTGGAGGGCCATGACCTACAAATAGGATGACATGCTATATTATGGGATCATAAATATAAAATACATAAATATTTTCGAAAACACTATATTAGACAAGCTCTTATCGATGTATGGGCAAAAATTTGGCAACCAAATTATACCCAAGTACGTAGTTGGATCTCACCGTTAGAAATATATGTACACCCAAAATTTACCCAATTAGATAAGATCATAACATATAAAAACATTTTAGATGAAAGAGGGGAATTAAAATCCAGGAAAACCTTTCAGGATGAAGGGATAGAATTAGAATGGTGGGCATACCTGCAACTGCAGGCGAGATATTGGAAAGATAAAGAGTTAGGCATTAAATTAGAACCAATAGAATTGGATAAAATAACATTGGGATCGGAGGATAAAATGATTAAAAAAATTATACCACTATTTGTTAAATCAGGCAATGTATGAGGAACAAGTAAAAGTGACTATGTTAAAATGGAGCAAGGGTTTTGGTCTTAATTTTAATCTGCACATCTGGCAAGAACTATGGGCAAGAAACAAGAAGCTTACTTTGGCCACCTCTTACAAAGAAAACCTCTACAAAATGTTCTATAGATGGCATCTCCCACCCATAAGATTAGCTAAAATGTGTTCCAATGTCTCCTCTAAATGTTGGAAATGTAATCTGACAATTGGAACATACTATCATATGTGGTGGGAGTGCACGCGAGCTCATGATTTTGGAATAGGATCAAAGAATGGTTGGGAGAAATATTAGAGCGAGCAGTAGAGCCAAAACCAGAACTTTTCCTATTAGGTATAACCATGCAAAAGTACGACAAAGGCATACTTTATTTAATGTTACACATTCTAACGGCTTCCAGACTGGTTTTTGCTCAAAATTGGAAGAATAAAAGAATTCCAACTGAAGAAGAGATCCTGTATAAAATCCTTTCATGTGCTGAGATGGACAGGCTTACAATGATTATGAAGGACAAGACAGAACTCGAATACTTCGAAAACTGGGACAAATTTTACCGTTGGTATGAATTAAGGAGAACTGCTCGGATCTCAAGTTAATGATAGGATTGATATATATATATAAGGAAGTTTTTCAGACAGATGTCTAATTGATTATACTCCCTTGACTCAGCTGGCAAAGAGGGAGGAGAGCCTGTGACTTGGTGGTTAAATCACTGCCTAGTATGTAAACTGCCCAGGTTCGAATCCCATAAAGGGTGTGGCTAACTGACGAGAGCAGAATGAGCTCGAAATGGCCATCTTAGTCTCCCAATTTAATTCTTTAATTCTTTGTATTACATAGAAGGATGAGGCTTATATAGAGGTTAAGAATGATGTATTAAATTTTTGTACCACGAGAAACAAACTGTTAGGAATACTTACTCTGGAATGTCACACTTGTTCATTTTTGTTTTAATTGTATTATAAATAAAAAACTTTTTAATAAAAAAAGAACTACCTGTAAAGTAATAAAAATACAGGGTAATTGACATTACATTAAACTTTGGCCATATCATGCAGGGGAATTCCCTGGAGAAAGCAATTATGCTTGGAAGAGTTAACAATAAAGAGAAATCACTCCACCAAAGAATATGGTGATAGGACACCATCAAAGCTAACATTAGCCAGAGCATAGAACAATTCAAAGAAGTAGTGTAAGATTAGAAGATATGGAGAGACGTGGCCCACAGAATTGCCAAGATTTGGACACGACTGAATGGATAAAATAAAATCATCATTATCTTTGGAAAGAATACTCTATTTTTTTCATGTTCAAGATATCAAGCTTTGTTCCACAGAGAATACAATTAAAATGTGCATTTTATCAACCCATTACGAGGTTATAGTTTCTTCCCATCCGCCCCCAAAACCCCCAAAGAAATTGAATTTAAGATACAAACCTAAGATACCAATGTCAAGGCCTTCCAAGCCTGCTTTTATTTTGCTGTAAATAGTATCTCGGTTTTCAAAGTCAACAGCAATTGTTTTTGTTTCCACCTTGAATTTGTCCTCTGAAATAAAGAACACATACATAATAGGTAACCATGGAGCACTGTATCTCATTACTATTATACAATAAGCTGAAATGGTAAAACAGCCAAGGTTTTGAAATATATCGTTTTAATGAACCTTTTATCAGATTGTGCTTGACCGTTAGCTCAATTTTAATTAAAGGCTTTCGAGAAATTCTAAGTTTATTTTGCAATAAAGATTTTTTTAAAAAAAATAGTTATTATTCTACAATACACCAAGCCTCTTCTCTTGAAGGGCTAACAGATTACTTATTTAGTAATCATTTACAATTATTCTTGTCTATTCATCACTGACCAGTTTTAAACAACTTACCTTTAATACTGGATCAAGATATTTTCCAGGATAAATAACTATGAATGAACTGTTATTACTTAATAGCAATAAAGTACTAACAACAACCTGAGAGCAAAATAATCATCTCACAGTTAAAAGTTACTTCCTGATATTTTTTACCCAAAAGCAAGAGTAATAATAGAATATAACACACAAAATAGCAATAGCAATATTATTATGGATTAGCCATTAGGCCATATCAAAATATAGATTATAAAACACATAAGATTAATAAGATTGTATATAATAACAGAATAAAAGAAACAAATAGAAAAATAATAAAAAAGCAAATTATATTTTTGTAACACCCCTACAATTTACCACAATCAGATATGTAGATCTCCAGTTCATAAAGGGCTATATAATTTGTAATGTTTGAATTCTGACCACATGTGAAGTATGTTCTTTTTAATATAAGGATCCAAGGATCCTTATATTAATTAGGATTCAATTCATCTAATGTGCACTCTCTTTCTTATACAATTGACATCAAATGTTAATGTGTTATGTCTTCTATCTCTGCAGCTCTGCAAATACAAGTATCTTCGGTATAAGGTATGTATCCAGTTGCACAAATCTTGAATACCATCCAAAGAATTATGCATTTCTGGGTTTAAATAACTTGCAATTTGAAAGGTATGTTTGTAGTGGCTCATCCATTTTAATGTGCCAGTCTTATTGAGGATTGCTATATCTTTATGTGCGTCTATAGCTAAGATTCTTTGTGCAACTATTTTTTTAGCTAGTTCTCCAATTGTACAAGAGATAGGGAGACCACAGTTCCTAATGTAATTTGTCAGGTGCACAATCAAAGAGGTCTTGAACTGAAATTTTGTCTGTTCTAACAGAAGTAATTTTGGAAGTCTGTCAGTTTCTATAGCATTCATTTTGCACCAATAATTATATGCCCTGATTAGACAAAGAACCAACTGTATAAATTCCCAATTTAGCTTTGACTGCAGCAACTGAGGTCCTTTTATCCACACCAAAATACTTCTTAGATACTGTGCTTATTCTTGTAATGATATATATTTAAAACCCCCAACTTCTGCTCCATATAACAGAATGGGGGCAACTTTGGCCTTATATACTTTAAAAATTGGAGTTAAAAAACCTGGTTAACTTACTTCACTTTCATATTTTATTGTTATAAAGCTGAATGTCATGTCTAGTAGAAGCACTAGAAAAGCATATGGCTGACTCAATGGTAGTGGCAGTGGAAGACCAAGTTTGGGACAGATCATCCTGGAGAAAATCCATCTATGTGGCTGCTAAGGGTCATTTTGATGGTTCATCTTCATCGTCATCATCACCACCACCACCCCTATTGTATACATTGATCAAACATTTCATTCTCTTGTTGAATTTGGATGTTAAGATTCTTCAAGTGCTCTATTTTTTTTGTTCCTGCTATTCTAGTAAGTTAACAAGTTCTTGTAATACTTCTGTGGGCAGAGCATACCGTATCAAGTGATTTATGTTTTAGCTATCTACTAATCCACTGCAACCTTCAGCAAGAAGATTCAATGAATCTCCTTACTAGGCATTTATTGGCATTGCACTGGATTCTACAATATGTGTGATATTCTATTAATATGCTATTGATAACGTATGGATTAATAAAGATTATTTATGGTGGTTCATCTTTTTTAATATCCCTTAAAATTTTGGATTATTGTTACTAGCCATAAAAAAACCATGAGCCTTTATAATAAAGAGATGTGATCTAGAAATAATGCTTATTGAGATTTCTCTGCTAAAACTGTGACCACAGGATTTCAAAGCAGAACAGATGTAGCTAAAAATAGCAGCACTCCACCTCGCTCTAGAGATGTTCAACCTGTTGTATTTTTTTTTCCTGATGTGATCACAAGATTGCTACTGCAGTAAGAATTATTTACGTCATTATTTTGCATAGCAGCATGTCCCCTGGGGACTTGAAAATAATGCACTTACTTCCAAAAGATGAAATACAAAGTGAACATTTGTATCTTGCTTTAAGGGCTATTTATTTGGGGGATGGAGGAAAAAGTAACTGAAAACAATTTATAATTCTCCATGGTTAGATAAACAATGGAAAAGCAAAATAAATGTGTACCATGTAGTTTGGTCCCAAGGTACAAGGTGACTAATTGACAAAATATGGAAATCTGCAAACATTTGCGACAGAAAGGAAGAGCAAAGCTAAGCCCTTCCCTCCTAAAATATAGTATTTACCAATCTAACAAGAGCACAATCAAGATTTATAGATCTGCATGCCACTTCACATTTTTCTTTTAAATAAATGAACACAGAAGATGATTTTAATTACAGAGATACAATTTGGTGTCTAACTATGATTCAGTGTATTAAAGGCTATCAGCAGAATGCACTTATGTGCTATTTATGGAACATAAATGAAGACTAAATATTTCATATATTACTTATATTATACTAAATTATTTCTAGCCTTTCTGCTCAATTTGTCCTATAAGGTGGATTACAACAAATAAAAAACAAAATTAAAATAAAACAAATTAAAAAGGCAAGTTAAACTCAGTACAGACATGTTTTTAAATTTTAAAATCTAATCTAGGAAACCAAGTGAGTCTGTATTTTTATCAAGAAATCAACCAGTTGTATATTAAGAATTTAACAATATTATTCCCTTAGTAGCTCTATTATGTAGCCCTATTAATTGCCCTATTATCAGCAGTATGGCCATATCCTTTGAGCAGCACCCCATTTCACTGCCTGCATCACCTTCCATTTTAACCCAGATGGCAAGCACATGTAGGAACGGCTGAAACAAAGATGGCAAGACACAATAAATGCATATATGAATATTGCACAGTTGGATCCAGATGCTACGTTTGATCATGCAAAATGGCATTTGTTGATCTAAAAAAAAAATTCTGCACATGCAGGAATAAAGATAGGATGATGATGACTCCTTAGTTTAGTAGCCCTATGGCAAGACAAACATCTCACCAATTTATTGTTATCAGGGATGTGCAAGGTTCTTATTAAAAGTCATGCTATAATATTGTGCAAATACAATTAAAACTTTCCAATTCATTTTTGTGTAACATTTTTAGCTCACTCTTCAGACAAAAATCATCTACATTGGTTGATTGATGGTGATTTATGTATTTCACTAAGATGGCCATCCATTTTAAAAAACACACCTCTGTGACTTACAATAGGGGTCCTCAACCCCCAGTCCATGGACCGGTAACAGGCCACGACATGCCAGCAACCAGTCCGCACAAACAAGCAAAACCCCATCCGTGGGATGCAGGCAGCACACAAAATCACGCACTCTCCGGTTTGTAGAAAAAACTTTCTCCACGGAACCGGTCCCTGGTGCCCAAAATGCTGGGGACCTCTGACTTACATCACAAGAAAAGCCAAAAGCCAATAGAATCAAAACATTCTCCAACACATCCAGCAAAACCATCCCTGAGTTTAAATCTTCCCCTAACATTGCACTTGTGGGAAGAGCCAGTTCTTATGGTCTTCTGGAAGGCTATTAAAGCAGTGGCCTGCTGGATCTCAAGATAGGGGTTCCCCACAGAGTTGGGTCTGCTAAGGAAAAGTTTCACTTCCCAAGTCCTGCTAGGTGACAATATTACCCTCAGGAAGAGTCCTGCAAATACCTGTTCCATGCCAGGTTAGCAAGTCATTAAATAACAAACTAGTTGAAGAGCCAGTAATGATGACAATTTGATTATTCTTCTCTTTTCACAGGGCGAACTTTGAGGAGAGTAGCAGTAATATGTGATTATGACTAATTATTCTTAGTTAAGGACTATAAACTAATTTTGTATTTCTCACATTCTGCAATTAAATGTCCCAACTATCGCCATTTTTAATATTTTTTACATGTTGTATGTAGCATGTAATACATTCAAGTAAGGACTTTCCAATAAGTGGAAAAAAAGGACTTTCTGATAAGCAGTTTGGGTAATAAAAGAAAGTTTGGGAGGCATCGCCTTATACTTTACTGACTGGAAAACAGATCACGGATCTATGTTTCTGTCTGGCTTTTTAAAATTGAGCTCTTTCATGTAAAGTATTTGTCTTTCCTTGTGGAAACATCAAGCTTAATTAACCTTTTGCTCCCTCGAAGTATTTTTACTCCTGGCCTTTTATACCATTTGCACATTTTTCTTATGTAATCAAAAATTGGATTCCAGAAATTATTTAAAAATACACAGAAAACATACTGCCCATGACATGGTGCAACTGAAAAGTAGGGAAACACATTTAATTATTGATATTACAATATGTTTAATGTATACCAATAGATTGTGGTTTGTACAGGATTGTTCTACTGTTGGCAAACTGCCAGTTGGCTCGAAGGAGGAGTCAAGCAGGGACCCAGCTTGGAATCGTTGTGCAGTGGCAAGAGATATAAACTTAACCTACCCCAAGATCCATGAAGCCTTATCTAGTCGTTCCCAGGGAAGACAACCAATCTGGGGAGATTCTTGTAACATAGGTAGAAGATAATAAATGTGGTCACTTAAGCTATTTAGCGGGGTTAGATGAATCAAAAGTTGGAATTAAGATTGCTGGGAGAAATATCAACAACCTAAGATATGCAGATGATACCACTCTAATGGCAAAAAGTGAAGAGGAACTAAAGAGCCTCTTGATGTGGGTGAAGGAGAGTGCAAAAGTTGGCTTGAAACTCAACATTAAGAAAATCAAGATCATGGCATCCGGCCCTCTCAATTCCTGGCAAATAGATGGGGAAGAAATGGAGGTAGTGACAGATTTTATCTTCCTGGGCTCCAAGATCACCTCAGATGGGGACTGCAGCCAAGAAATTAAAAGACGCTTGCTCCTGGGGAGGAAAGCTTTGGCAAACCTAGATAGCATACTAAAAAGCAGAGACATCACCCTGCCAACAAAAGTACGTATAGTCAAGGCCATGGTTTTCCCAGTTGCAATGTATGGCTGTGAAAGTTGGACCATAAGAAAGGCTGAGCGACAAAGAATTGAGGCCTTTGAACTATGGTGCTGGAGAAGACTCCTGCGAGTCCCCTGGACTGCAAGACGATCAAACCGGTCAGTCCTAGAGGAGATCAACCCTGACTGCTCTTTAGAAGGCCAGATCCTGAAGTTGAAACTCAAATACTTTGGCCACCTAATGAGAAGGAAGGACTCACTGGAGAAGGGCCTAATGCTGGGAAAGATTGAGGGCAATAGAAGAAGGGGACGACAGAGAATGAGGTGGCTGGATGGAGTCACTGAAGCAGTAGGCGTGAGCTTAAATGGACTCCAGAAGATGGTAGAGGACAGGAAGGCCTAGAGGAACATTGTCCATGGGATCGCGATGGGTCGGACACAACTTCACAACTAACAACAACAAAGCTATTTATGAGTGGCTCTGGTTGCTTGCACCTGACATCTACTCTTTCAAATCACTGGTGGTAATTAGAGGGCTGGGGAGTTTTGTTTTGCCACTAGAATGACATCAAGAATGTTCAATGATACCCAAGATGATCGGCTAGAAAGGGAACATTCTACTTAGAAAGCAGCTGTTTTTATAATCAACGTTTTATCAATATAATGTGTCTGTGTGTAAAATCTCCTATCTTTTCAACTACTGCAAAAGTGCTGTAGAAAACATTAAGTCTACTACAGACCCTTTCATAAATTTGAATGATTTAGCACGAGGAAGATTATATTCATTTTAAACTTCTTCTACAAAGTTGTCATGATGCGGCTCATGTCTGAGTGTGTTCCTCGTGCTTATGATAATGAGTGCTATTTTTAGCCTTGTTGAAAGGCAGACACCTGCCCAGAGGATTGTACCGCATACACACTCTTGTGGATAACTACGCTTCGTTTTGAAGCTTGGATGCATATGGTGATTTTAGTAATGTGTTTAAAAAAAAACTTTTTTGTAGTAGATTTCTGAAGTTGCATCTAGAAAGTATTTTGACATAAAAACACTAATAATTCAGAAATACTCTGCACAGGAAAGCCAACTCTGAATCAAGTACAAATAGTGTAGTGCTCTTTCAGCTGTAAATGCACTGTTTTGCAGTTCTTCCAGATTCTATGGAAGCCCAGATAATCATCTCTAAAAGTATCTCATTGTTGAGTTTTTGAAATCATTTTACGCTGATTCTGTCTTTGTCAGAAAAGTGATCTTGCTTCTTTTCCATACACTTGTGCAAACATATATTTCCCAAATGTGTTGGACTTTAACTCTCATAGCTTTAACTGATATTGCCATGAGAAGAATGAAGTGGCATTCAAGCTAGATAACTATAAAAAGCTTTATGTGGGGCTACCTGGGAAGAATGTAACCCAGTGGTGGCGAACCTATGGCACGGGTGCCAGAGGTGGCACTTGGAGCCCTCTCTGTGGGCACACGCACCATATCCCCAGTCCCACCTCCTCACACGGCCCCCTCACCATCAGCCCTTCTGAAGGAGAGTCGCCCCTGGGCACGGCCCAGGCAAAGCAGCACAACCAAGGACATGGCAGCTGGGCAGCGGGGACAAGACTCTGCCCTTGCGCCCCATCGCGCACAGATGCTCCTGCGGGGCGTGGGCGGAGAGCGTGGCCACCATGGCGCTGCTGGGCTGCCTGGGTGATCTGTGGCGGGCCGTGGAGGTGGTGGGTGGCCCTGTGGGCAGGGCGGAGCAGGGACGGGGGCGGTGTTTGGGCACTCTGTCTCTAAAAGGTTCGCCATCACTGATTTAACTGAATATCATTTTATTTACACTATACTTCTCCTCCAAACAGAATTTAAGACAATACTAAATTCTCCTCCAAACAGAATTTAAGACAATGTAAAGAAACCAAATTTAGTCAAGCACTTCAGCTCATTAACACTTCAATTCAAATACCTCTGATTCTTCTTAAATTGTAAAATGCACGTACATTTTATATTTATTGGTAAATAAAAATGGAACATAATACATGTAGTCCTAAACTTACAGCTGGACACTTAACGACCATTAGATGTTATGACAAATCTCCTCAGAGCTACTTGCAACTCATTTTCAAAGTTACAATGTCCGCCCATGTTCATGTGATCGCATTCTGAGCATTTGGCAGAATTTTATAGCTGTTTGCTATGTCCCATGGTTACATGACCACAATTTGCAACTTTTTTGCAGGTTTCTGGTATTTACTTCTGGTTGTCGGCAAAAAATGCCCATTATGGGAAATGGATTCACTTAATGACTGCCACACAAAACATAAAATATTTAATCTGGCCATATAATGCCTTGACTGCCAACCATAATTCCAAGATCAATTATTGTTGTTAAGTTAAGAACTATCATAAAAATAATAAAGGCAGAACAAAAGAAATCTTAAATTTAAACATCACCCAAGCTGCCTGAGTGGTGGCACAGTCTGCTTGGAGCCACCTCACTGTAGGACAAAAAAGGCTACTGGGGGTACAATATATTTCTGTCTCTGGTGCCCATAACTTAGCCATCACCACCATCTGGGGGAGGAATCCCTGTGATGTGATCAGCAGGGGAGGAAGCTACCACAAAAGACCTACCTAACCCAGACTGAATCCTGCCAGTGACTAGTACAGTGATGGTGAACTTTTTAGAGACCGAGTGCCCAAACTGCAACCCCAAACCCACTTATTTATCGCAAAGTGCCAGGGCCGCATCGGCATTGTGGTGCCCTCGGGGGGGGGGCAGGGAGGCGCCTCTGAGTGCCACCGCTGGCATGCAAAAACCAGGGGTGCAAAAATGGGCGACCATGCTGCAAGGTGAAAAAATGGCCGCTGCCATGCCACGGGGTGCAGATACAAGGCACTGCACCACGCAAGAACGGGGCAGGGCTAATGAGTATCACACAGGCACTAGCCCCGTCCCATTTGCAGTGTGTACATGCTTGCAGTCCCATGTGCACATTCACGCATGTAAAATGCTTCCCCCTCCCTTTTCTTCCAGTCCACCAATCAACAATGGTTGGTGACTTCTGCTCTACCATCCCTACTCGAGCTTGCTAGTCGGCCGCTTCACCTTCTTTGTGCTGGGTGGGGCTCCTGCTCCGGGCAACGGTGGCAGCCTGATGGATCTGCTGCTGGCGGTGGTGGCACGCATACCAACAGAGAGGGCTCTTACTGCCGCCTCTGGCATGCGTGCCATAGGTTTGTCACCACTGGACTAGTAAATGACTAACTCCTGCCTTCTAGCCAAAAGAGGTAGAGGTAACTCTTTCTTGTCAGCTCCATCTTCTGGTGATGAAGAATTGATTTCATAAAAACTAAATATGGTCATGCACGGTTAGTACTTGGACAGAAGATCACCAGAAAATTCCACAGTGTCTAAACAAAGGAATCCTGGAATAAAGCAATAGTAAAATGCTTCTGTTTTAAGAAAACTACATGAACTTGTTACTGAAATCACTAGGAGTCTAAATCAACTCAGAGATTTTTTTATTAATCAAGAAAAAACAAGATACTCACCTATTTCACTGGCAGTCTTATCTAGTTTTTCTTGCGATCTGCTGATAAGAACTATTTTCATTCCTTTTCTTGCTAACTGAGAAAATTAAATATAGATTAATTCCAATTCTGTACAAGCTCAGAATCATTATTAAGAATTGTAATTGTGGGGTTGAATCCAAAGATTCTGCCAGAAGAAACCTTTAATACCCACTTAATTCCAAATAAGTGTCTTAAATAGGAAAAAAGACATTTTATATACAGGTAGTCTTTGACTTATAACTGATTGCTTAGCAACCATTTAAAATTATGACATACCTGCAAAAAGAAGCTTAAGATCCAGTTTTGGAGTTATGACGCTCCTCATGGTCACATGACCACATTTTGGGCAGTTGGTAAGTGGCTCACATTTATGACTGTTTCTGGCACCCTGCAGTCATGTGACCATAATTTATTTGTTTGTTTGCTAAATTTATTTGCTGCCCATCTCTCCAAGGAGCTTCTTTGGGTGACTTACAACAGTAAAAAATGCAGAAGTGAAAAGATGTGCAAACATAACAGTATCAAAGTAATGAAACAATAAAGATAAACAGAATAACCACTGAAGGTATAGCAATATGAGAGTAAAAATGGACAGGGAGAAACAAGGAGCGCAGGGAGCAGGTGAGGTTTGATATCAGTCTATTAGCCACCTCCAGTGTAGTGCTCCCCCATTCGGTCTGTAGGCCAACAAGACTCTTACAGAAAGATAGGAGAGTAGGGGCTGATCTCAATCCAGGGTAGGTGGGCGGGCACCTCTACAGAGAAGGCTCTTCTTCTGAATGTCATCAGCCACTATTCTGCCTGACAGGATCCACAGTAGGCCTCCTCTGCTGGCACGAGTGAGGCAGGCCTGACATAGCGGGACAAGACGGTTCATCAAGTAGCCTGGACCCATGCTGTTTGCCATTTATGACATTTTTGCTGGAAAACTGTGTTTACTTCCAGCTCCTGGCAAAAAATACCCCACAGCAAGCAATGGGTTTGCTTCATGGCTGCTGGATTTGCTTAATGACTGTCACAAAAAAGGTCGTAAAATCGGGTCCAGTTATGTGATGACCTGCATGCCCATCATGACTTATGACTGTATTTGCCGAGGTCAATTACAAACTTGAGAGAACTATCTGTAGCATCCAAGTGACTGCACCAAATTTAGCTAACATGAATGACTACTGATCAATTTTGAAATGAAATGTCAAAATTAAATTTTTAGATCATTGTGAACATATTCTCCTTGTCAGCCAACTGGCTCACATATCCCACCCAAATATCAGAATGTAAGTAAATATACAATGGAAACCAGAACATTTTCTTTTAAGATTATTAAATAAAGAATTGGGGAAAAAATTGTTATTATATATGCTAATTGCAGCAAGAATTTTATACGCTCAAAAATGAAAAAAACTCATTAGTTTCCATAATGGAAGAATGGATTGAAAAAGTGACAGAATTGGCAGAGATTACCAGGTTAACCACATTAATTAGGGAAAACAACATAACTAGCTCTGTTTCTACTTGGAAACCACTTCTGGACTTTCTGTTTAAAAAAAAGATAAATTTTGATTTTGGGTTTTGATGATTAAATAGGATGTTATTATAGATTAGCTAGTATTTACTATCTTTATGTAAGTAAAAAGCTGAGGTTATAATCTTGTGATGTAACTTACTGCACCAAAAAAAAAAAAATAAAAAATGAAAGCCACTGCTTTTTGGCTTCTTTGCCTTTTCTTCATTCTAATCTTCTTCCATTTTTTTCACTGTATTTATTTTCATTTGTATTTTATATTTTAAAAAAAGTTCAATTAAAAGTTTTTTTTTTAAAAAAAGAGTAAACCACAGATGCACTGGGGAGAAGCCAGAAGCAACTCCTTACTGAAATGAATTCTCCTATAAAAAAACTGAAAGAGAATTAGGTAAATGAAACAGGAATTTCTGTTTTGGAAAATTGCTACTTTTTATGGAAGTAGGTAAAAGTTTAGCTAGGAAATTGTATCAATATTTTTAATTTCTTTTTAGACTGAGTGCAGCTGAGACAAATCTAGGATTCTTCTCCCCACAATCTAGAAAATCTTAGCATTTTATTCAGGCTTATCATACAAATCTAAACACAACTTTCAACCCTTCAGCAAAGTTCAGAACTCCAGATTCATCAAAAGAAAACTGCTGTGTCGGGAATATGGATATAGGAAGGGGCGCAAGCCCTAGAGACAGTTAGCTACGCTTAATAAGTTTCATAACTACATTCAAAATGGAGTGAGCAGACAGAGAATAAATGTTTTTTAAACTGGACCTGATATTGTTGGGATGTGATAGAATAAGTAAAATCCTCTAATATTTGACAGAGAATGGGAAACATCAAGGATAGAGTAAAGGGACCTTTGCAGCTTTTGCCAGTCCAGAGAAAGGGTGCTATCTTACCTGAACGCCTTTTCTCAGCACGGACATGTAGAATCCACCAATGGGTTAACTCTGCCTTCCTGCCCATTAGACCAAGTCAGCCAAATTTGTCACACCCCTCCTTGGGTGACCACTCCCCATTCTTTGACGAGGGTAAAGCTGCCTGTAGTTTGACATGTTGGCTCCCGGTTTCCTAATATGAAGTAGTTATTCTTAAGGGTGGGAGTGGATTCTACATCTCCGTGCTGAGAAAAGGCATTCAGGTAAGACAATGCCCCTTCTCCAGCACAGGAGATGTAGAATCCACCAATGGGACATACCAAAGCCTTACTGTCCCAATGGGAGGGGAGCCGGAGAGGCCACTGTCACGTCCCCCGTGATTACCTGTTGGAGGACCCTCCTTCCAAAGGAAGCTTCCATGGATGCAAAGCGGTCTATCTTGTAGTGTCGGATGAATGGAGAGGGCGAGGACCATGTCGCCATCCTGCAGACCTCCTTGATAGAGGCCTGTATGGCCCACGCCGTGGAGGTCGCAGCACTGCGAGTAGTGTGTGCTATGATCTGCCCTGGTGTTGGTAGGGACAGGGACTGATACGCTTCCTGACCGCAACCAGGTAAACGACCTTGAGAGATAAGTCCCTCAGAGTGCATGACTTGGGTTCAAAGGGTGCCTTGGTGAGGACCCAGAGGACTCGTAATTCCCAGGTGGAATAACTGTGCATTACGGGTGGCTTTGTGTTGGTGGCTCCCTTAAGGAAAGCACGGATTCTGGGTTGTTGTGCCAAGGGAGCTGAGTTTGCACATGTAAGTAAAGTGGATAGCGCTGCGACCTGTCTGAGGATGGTGTTGCAGGCAAGGCCCTTGTCCAGGCCATTGAGCAAATATTCTAGGATGTTTGGGATTGTCAGGTTCAAAACCTCAAGTAATCGCCTTTTGCACCAACTGCAGAAACTTTCCATGTGCAGTCATAGATGTGGTTAGTCGCCGGTCAGCGGGATGCATGAATCAATGAAATTAATCTTGGAGGGTATGATTCCCCACTCAAGATCCGCCGTTCTAGTGCCAGGCGGCTAATTAAAGCCATTGGGGTTCTGGGTGTTGTAGGGTTCCCTGGCTGAGTGGTATTTGGTCTGGGGGAATCTCCATGGGGGGGGGGAGCTGGAGAGATTCACCAGGTCCACGAACCAGTCTTCGTGGCCAATGTGGGGCCACAAGTATGATCTCCGCCCGTTCCTGTAGTACCTTGCGGATGGTTGTCGGGATCAGCGGAAGGGGAGAGAACATGTAAAGTAGACCTCCCCCGGCCATGGGGCGCGCACGGAGTCCACTCCCTCCGCTCCCGGCGATGGGGACCTTGAGAAGAACCTTGCTAGTTGGGTGTTTGTCGGGGACACAAACAGATCTACCACTGATTTTCCAAACTTCCTCCCTATTTCCGCAAATAGGTCTGGACTCAAGCGCCGTTCGGCGTGGTCCACAGTTGATCTGCTTAGGAAGTCCGCCTGTCTGTTCGCTGCCCCCAAGATGTGTTCGGCTCTGATGGAGGCAAGGTTTGCCTCTGCCCAGGATCCCAAGTCTTGGGCCTCCCTCATGACGGTTTTGGACTGGGTTCCCCCTTGCCGGATCACGTGTGCTTTTGCTGACATGTTGTCTGTGAGGACTAGGACATGTTGTCCCGCTACCCTGTAGTGGAAGTGACGAAGGGTCAAGTGTATGGCCCTTAATTCCAACCAATTGATGTTGTGTGCCAGATCTGCCTGGGACCATTGTCTCTGTGCCCACTGAGACTGGCATCCGTCGTGAGTGTGAGCCGGTTGGGTTCCTTGAAATGTGACCCTTTGGCTACTGCTGGTGATGCCCACCATTTGAGAGACCGCAAGGTTTCGGGTGGGACCCTTACTCGCCTGTTGGAAAAGCTCAGTCTCAGCCTCTGGAATGGAAGAAGAAACCATTGGAGTTCCCTGGAGTGTAATCTGGCCCAAGGGACTATTGCAATGCATGACACCATCTTCCCCAGGAGTTAAGACAGCCTGACCAGTGGCACTATTTGGTCCCTGTGTACCTTTAGCACTAGGGACCGTATGCTGTCGCGACGCTCCTGTGACAGGTAGACCTGTCCCCTGAGAGTATCTATGATGGCGCCCAGGTGTAGGATATGGGTGGAAGGATTGGCCTGACTTTTTTGGGAAGTTGACTGAGAACCCGTGTTCCTGGAGGACCCTGATTGTCTGAGCTAGGTCCGACTGAGTGACCTGAGGAGAGGGAGACTGAATGAGGATGTCTAGGTAGCACTGGGCGCACCGGTATTGCTCGGAGGTGCGCGGCCAGCACCGTTAGTACCTTGATGAAGACCCTTGGGGCTGACGAAAGTCCGAATAGAAGAGCCCTGTACTGGTAATGGTGTCCTGCGTAGTAGAACCTGAGGAATCGACGGTGGCTGGGAGCAATGGGAATGTGAAGGTATGCTTCCCTGAGGTCTATGGACGTCAGGAGATCCCCATGTCTTATGCCGCCTAGGATGGAGTGGAGGGATTGCATTTTGAACTTTCGGTAGGCTATATGATGGTTCAGACCCTTTAGGTCCAGGATTGCCCTCCAATCCCCCGAGGTCTTGGGAACCACGAAGAGGATGGAGTAGAATTCCCCCCCCCCCCGGTTTCCAACCGGCACCTGTTCTATGGTCTTTATCTCTAGGAGGTGTCGGATGGCCTCTTGCATAAGGTTGCTTTTGGCGGGGTTCCTTGCTTGGGGACAAGAGATGAAGTGTTCCGGGAGACTGGATACGAACTCTAGGGATAGGCCATATTGGATGGTTTGGCGAACCCAGGAGTCCGTGGTGGTGGCTTCCCAAGCCACCTATTTTTGAGGAAAACCTGTGCCTACGTGTGTATGGGTTTGAGTGTCTGTTGGCCCGCCTGCTGGAGTGGCCCAACATCTTACGCTTGTCCTTGTTTCTGGTCAAGTAGGGGTTCAGTGCTTCTCCGAACAGCTGCCCACCCTGGTAAGGGGCCGTGGCTAGGCGCCACTTGGCCTTTGGGTCGGCTTGCCAGTGTTTGAGCCATAGCATCCTGCATGCTGAGATGTTGGATGCTAACACTCTGGATGAGAACCTGGCCGCATGTAGCATGGCATCAGAGACATATTCTGACGCAGCCGCCAGCTTGCTCAGCTCTTCTTGTGTATGTACCTTCTCCTGGGGGATTCTGGCTTGTAGTTGACGAATCCAGAGTAAGGAGGTCCGTGCAAAGGATGCAAAGGTGACGGCTTTTACTGCCCACGCTGCCGCCTGGTGGGTCCTGTGGAATGTGAGTTCCCATCTCTTGTCATCAGACTTTAAGACTTCCACCATGTCCCGCGACACTGGGGACGGGGAGAAAAGAAATCCAAAGGGTTTGTCCACCTTTCCCCTGATTGGAAACAGGTTGGGGTCATGGCTGTCATAGATTCAGTTCTCGGTCCGTGGTTAGCCCTAGAGGCCAGTAGCCTGTTAAATGCCTGCTTGATTAGGGCTTGGAGCCGATCCTCGGAGGGAAGACCTTCGGTCTCCGTCCCCCTTAGCCCTGCCACTGTGGGGATGAAGGTGGCCTACAGGTATGATTGCTTGGGCTTGCTCCTCCTCAGGGGCCTGGAGCGACCCCTCCGGGAACTATACTGCTTGGGTAGAGGGTCCCAAGGTAAGATTGAAAGGCTCCTCCTCCATTTGTTCCACCTTTGTCCTGGCCTGCTTTTCCACTTTGGAGAATTCCCTCTCCAGAGCTTGGTGGCTTCTGCTAGCCTGTTTCTCTGCCAACTTGGAAGGTTTCCTTCCAGAAATGGACTTAGCTTTGGTTTTGATCCTGCCTGCCACCTCTTGCGTGGAGGATTTTTGTCTTTTGCGGCTGTTAGGAGGGGAGGCGGTGTTCTTGGATTGAGATACCGTGGGCTCCTTCATCCTGATGTGAGCTTTCTCAATGGCACCGAGAGGGAGCTCTGGCAAGGGATAGGCTGAACAGGGGTAGCAGGGAATGGTCTTCCTGCTCTTCTGACCACTTGACCGGTGGTAGGAGGTTGCCCGGTCTTGTCTACTGTTGCAGCAATCCTGCTTGCTGTAGACTGCAGGTATGCTTAACGTGGTCAGGTCCGCAATTGCACCAGATTACTGCGCAGGCGTTTCTAGGAATGAATTATGATGTGTATGTCTGAGTACTTTTTTTATTTTATTTTTATTTAAATTAATTTATTTATTATTACTATTTATTTATTCTTTATTATGTATTATTTATTTATGTATTATTTATTATTTATTAATGTATAGGTTTCCGGATGAAGGGGGGAGGTGAATGAATGGTTTGAGTGCTAAAGAGAAAGCACCGGCAACGAGGACCTTGCTCTGCAACTCTCCCCCCCTTATGGGATAAAGGCAGATTAGGAATCCCCATGAGGAAATAGATTCAGTGGTGGAAAAAGGGGAAAAAAACGGCTGCCGCATCTGATTTGGGGTTTAAATTGGCAACCGGAGTAGTTCCTGGTAAGGAAAGGGGGCGGCGCTTGTCACATTACTGTTTCCCTGGCAGGAAACGTGAGGCGGAGGAAGAAGAGGCTGCCTCCTGCAGCCGTGGTGTGTTCTGGTCTCCAAGATGGCTACCGGGGCAAACAGAAACAAAGGTGAAGCAATCGCTCCGTTAATCCAACGATCACTCAGAGCAACTCACAAGAAACATCCCTAAGGGAATGAAGACGCAAGGAGAAAAGAGGGAAATCCCAGGAGAATGGCAGCCGCTGCTCCGACGAGCAAGCCCAGCCAGCTGCTTAACGCTTAGCAGTTGATCGATCCTTCCCCGGGCTTTCCCTTTGTTCTGGTTGTTGCCAGCACTGTCAGCTGTCGCGCTGCTTCTAGCGCTTAACAGCTGATCAGGCTTTCCCCAGAGCTTTCCCTTTCATGCGGAGCAACGAGGATAAAAAAGAGGGTGGGGGATTCTGATTCTTAGGGAGTCCCTCCGATGGGACGGCTGCTGTGCTGTTCCCAGCACAGGCAGCTGATTTGGGTCTTTCTTACACTTCTTTAAAACTGAAGCCTCAGGAGAAGCTTCAGCTTTGTGGATGGAAAAGGAGGGAAAAAGCCCCATCTCTGTCTTCTACAGCCTATTTCATCCAGCGCTGATCCCAGCGCTGCTGGAAGGGCTGTGAATGAGGGGAGAGAGAATCCACCAATAATATCTACTACCTGCCTTAAACCGGGAGCCAAATTTGTCACATCCGTCTGGGCGAAGACCAAGTCAAGAATGGGGAGTGGTCACCCAAGGACGGGCATGGCAAATTTGGCTGACTTGGTCTAATGGGCAGGAAGGCAGAGTTAACCCATTGGTGGATTCTCCATCTCCGGTGCTGGAGAATGCTTCAATCTCTCTAGAAATTTCTGAGCTTGAAACTAATGCATAAATAACTAGTATATTATAATAACGTATAGTGACTCACCTCTAATATACATGAAGGGAATTTTAAAAAGAAATATCCACTTCTATAGCATGGAATAATAAACTTGATTATGAGTATAACACCAAACATCCTATGACAGACGTCACCAACTTTTTGGGCACTAGGGATTGGTTACGTGGAAAGAGGTTTTTTCTTGGACCGGAGGATGCATGGTTTTGTGTGCTGCCTGCATCTTATGATGGGGCTTTGGTTTTTTGTGCAACCTGGTTGCTGGCATGCCACGGACCGGTACTGATCCATGGACTGAGGGTTGGGGACCTCTGTCCTAGGGAAAAATACAATGCACACATCTTCCAATAGCAAACCCTAACATTAACGACACTATCAGGGGTTAACCATAATCATTAGCAACCCCTCTTTTGCACAGGGGAGTTCATCCTTCCCATTCTAATACAAAATGAATTTACTTGTGACTTTTAAATGTATTTTGTGGCTCTTTAATATATGTGAAAAAACACATTTATTCTTGAATTACTTTTATAAAGGGAAACACTTCCAAAACAGACCAGCACTACAAAGACTACATAGAATTACTATTTGGGGAAGACCTGAGGTAGACCTGCTTAAAACTTACCGCTTCTGCATAAGCCTTTCCAATTCCATCTGTAGCTCCTGTGATAACTATAAAATAGAAAGGGCAGAGGGGAAAATAAAATTATGAGAGTGAATTAAGATTTCCAAAGTACAGAACCATCAATAAACAAGCATATTAATATTATTATTACAAAAGGGTCTTTAAGGAGTCTCTTTCATTTTTCCTCTAATTGAAGCATTGTACAAATAGTCTTCGAATTAAGACCATTCGTTTAACATTCATGCTGAAGTTATAATGGTACTGAAAAGAGTGACTTATGATCAGTTCTTGCACTTTTGACCATTGCAGCACCCCTGTGAGTAAAATCTGGATCCTTGCAAACTGGCATTTTTTTATGATAGTTGCAGCGTCTTGGTATCATGTGATCATTTGCAACCTTCCCAAATGGCTTCTCACAAGCAAAGTCAATGGGAGAAGCTAAATTTGCTCAGTGCCTGCATGATTTGCTCAGTGTCTGCAGTGATTCACTTAGCCATAGCAAAATGATAGTAAAATCAGGTGTCACTAACTTAATGACTACATTGCTTAGCATTGGCAATTTTGGTTCCAATTATGGTTGTAAATAAATTACAGATATTACCTGTAATATCTGCATTATTTTATAATTTCCCTAAAAAATAGAATTCGAGACTGTTGTGAATGAATTAACAATATCCAGATGCAAATGACTCCATTACAAGTTAACATGAAATAAGTTCCTGTGTAGCCCTAACACAAATTATAGTCACCATTATTTCACGATAGAAAAAGCAATCTCACTTTCCTGACCTGTTACTTTTTAGGAGGATTAGAGCAGGGCTTTTCAACCAGTGATACGGGTACCACCTGCGGTACATTGGCACCTGGCAGGTGATAAGTGACCATCCTAGAAAAGTGGTAGCAGGGGAGGGGAATGTGCTGAACCGGTGGCAAATTATAAGCCTGAGTGAGAGATGGCTGGAGCTGCAGGGCTGTTAGGGCTCAGTGGAAGCGCCAGGATCAGTGCCGCTTTCCAGCTGATTGGCGCTTCTTCGGGGCTGTCAGGGCTTAGTGGAAGCACCAGGATCAGCGCCAGGCTCCAGCTGGAGCTTGATGCTGATCCTGGTGCTTCTGCTGAGCCCTGAAGAAGCACCAATCAGCTGGAATGTTGAAGCATCTCCAGGATCTTGTGATTTACATTCAGATGCTTGGCAACTGATTCATATTTATGACAGACACAATGTTCCAGGGTCATGTGAAGTGACCAAAACCTGCTGCAACCATCCAATAGACGGGGGGGGGGGAATAAAAACCAAACACCCCCCCACCCCCACTGCTAATCCTCAACAGAAATGCTCACAACAATGAAAACTTTGGACAGGAGGAAGAGCGCTGCCGGATGAGCAGGCAGGTGTCTTGCTCGGCTGTGGCTTGGGAGGCACTTTTTTCAGTGCCATTGTAACTTTGAACAGTCACTAAGCGAACTGTTGTAAGTTGAGGACTACCTGTACTTTATCACTTTTTTCCTTTTTTTTTTTTGGTCAAGTTTTTGACGCCTTGGTAGGCGACTGGTGGTACTCAGATATTGCCATTCCTAAAAGTGGTACAATGGGTGAAAAGGTTGAAAAGCCCTGGATTAGAGTGTAGAGCACAGGTATTTTAATTGGGCCTTGGACCACGTGACAGAAACCGAAACAGAACCAGCTTTGGTGATAGTCTGGACTTTGCAGCTCCAATATATACTCTAAAACCTCAGAACCTTAAACAGTACTATCCCTTTTGAACAAAGAAACAAAGGTTTGAATGGCAAACAAAGGCCAACATATGTTTGGGATTTTAGAATTCAAACACAAAAGCACCTGCCTCATAACCCCTTAGACAACAATTGCTGATAAGAAAAGACAAAAAAGAATGCATAGTGGATGTGGCAGTAGCTAGAGACAGCAAAGTAGAAGAGAAAGAACTGGAGAAAATCACAAAATACAAAGATCTACAAAGAGAACTGTAGCAAAAGAAACAAAGATAATACTAACAGTAATAGGCACCTTGGGTGCAATCCCAAAACATCTGAAGCATCACTTGAACACCATCAATATTGACAAAATCACCATCAGTCAATTGCAAAAGGCAGCTTTACTCGGAACAGCTTACATCCTGTGATACCTTTAATACCATCAAACAACAATAGCTGCCTTAGGAAGGATTCAATATGTGGATAAAAATGCCAAATCCAGTATAAACATCTGGTTGATTGTGTGACAAACCAGAGTAATAATAATAACAACTATCCCAATGTTTCCTCCACAAATCACCATTAAAGTTAAACTGAAGTCCTTCACTTGAAAAGAAGAAAAATGCCTTTATATAATTTAACACTGGCACTTGACCCATATGATTGCAAGATTCTCTGCAGGCATAAATGAATTTTGAAAAATTAACTTGAGCTGGTTCAAATATTATGTGTGGTTTTAGCCTACAGCATTTATTTTTTATTAATAATCACTTCAAAATCAAAATCATGTTATAGGAACACTTGAAGTTTACCCTCTACCCACTACATGCATTATACAAACTGTTTAGTTATTTGAAACTGGTTCAGCTCGTGTCTTTTAGCCCCGTGAACACTTAATGCACAAACACTTGATTGATTAAATATTAATGCCGCAGTAAGCTTTGACAGCTGTCTTTTGTCTGGGTGGGTTTGGGGAGGGGAAATATATGCAATGACAGAGAGCTTGCATCAATATTCCTCTTGGGATCTATTACATGGAAAGCAAATTGCTATTTCAATTCTCCTTTCTTGCTAAAAATAGCAGCTCAATTGATTCAAGCAACACAGCATCAGCTTAGCAGTGCCAAATTTAGAAGCTACTGAAGTCCCTAGAAGTGAAGCTAATGGAGTCTAATATATGCTAACTCATACTTTAGTAAGAACAAAGAAGGTAAATGTGCAGATCCTGCAAGCTAATGTTAGTACCAATACACTACAATAAGAGAAGCCCCACTCCAAAAAAAACCCTATCCAAAAATGACACAAATGTGAATTTTTAAAATGTCTTCTTCATTCACAGTGTAACAGAACACCTTCAGACTTTGCACCTTATCTTTCTTTTGTTCGTTATGCTTCCCACACATAAATTATGCAAAGATATCACAACATCATAACATTTGTGCAAAAGAATCACGACATCGTGGATTTTATATTAAAAGAACACAAGCATGTAAAGTTTATGAAGCTGTACAAAGAGAAGTGCAAATAAGTGCAAATAAAATAATACCTGTAGAAGAGAATATTTGTCATAGCTGTCCCCTGACTTCCCACTCCCACTTGAAGCTAATATTGATGCAGGTTTCAGATGAACCATAGAGGCTGAAATAAGCTTAAGACTCCCAAACTCCTTGGAACTAAAACCAAAAACACAGATGTCCAGACATTCTAGAGCAGGAGTTTCAAACTGCCAATCCATGGGCCAGTTGCATCATGCGGAGGCTGCGCCCACCCTAGCTCCGGCAATGAAAAAAAAAGTTGCGATACGTCGCAACACGTCACGTGACACAGTGAGTTTGACACCTGTGTTCTACAGTTGAGAAAGATCACAGCATTGAGAAAGATCACAGATTAGTTGGTTAATTTAACTGGAAATCTTAAAAGCAATTTTAAATACCGTAAATGCCGGCGTATAAGGCGACTTCCGCGAGCGCTGAAATCGGCGCCAAAGATGGGGGTCGTCTTATACGCCGAGTCGTCTTATACGCCGGAAATACTGGTAGTTTCCGGCGTATAAGACGACGTTCTAGGAATGCGGCCCGGCTATAAAGACGGGGGTCGTCTTATACGCCGGGTCGCCTTGTACACCGGCATTTACGGTAAACCTTTTCCATGTTCGTAACTATATGTGTCATGAGCTTCAGAACTGCTAATTATTACTTCAGTTTTGCAGTATTTTTCAATAAGTTTTCAGGCCAAATTAAATAAGTTGCTTGCCTTTTATTTTATAGGATGAGGACAAATATCCACATGGAAGACTACCTTAACTTGCCCCCACTAATAAAGTTAGGTCCTTCTTGATGACAATATCCAAGTTACAGATCACTCTTCAATAATGTGACAAGATTATTATTTTCATGCCTGGACACTATCATTTTATATTTCCAAATATGCATGGTGTAATTTTAATGCTTTATTAGATATGTCCTTTAGACTGTATTTTTGTATTGATTTCATAATTATAATGCAATGGCTGCATTCTTTTTGATATGGAAATATACTATACTTCCTTGCTCTAACCACATTAACAACCATGTTACTAACTCAACAACGGCAGTGATTCATTTAACTGTGGTAAGAAGGGTCGTAAAATGGGGCAAAACTCACCTAATAGCTACCTTTCTTAACAATGGAAATTTTGAGTTCAATTGTGGCCATCACTATCATTACAGGACTACCTGCAATTAAAACTCTGTTGGATCATCCTATAGCCTGCATCCTGGTATTATACCACTTCCAGGAGAGCAACATGCAAGTGTAACGCTCTTCCCTTTGAACCTGAGATTGACAGTATGAAGTACATTTTCTACTGTACATCTCTTTATTGCCAATGAGTATTTTTGCAGCAAAAAAAATATGACAAAACAAGCTGTGTGCGCTTTGTGAGCCTCTGATAAGGGCAACATATAATCAAGGAACTACTCTTTTTTTGGTCTAAATTGATCTCTATAAAAGAGAGACTATAAATACCTATGAAGCAAAGTTATACCATTATAAAACGTCTATGCTGATAATATCCTTGTTCTTCAAAGTTTTTCTTTATGAACCTGTGACCTTACCCTTAATGTAGGCATAGTGTAGCATGCAAGGGACAAACTGCTTCAATTCCTTACTCTGGAGACAAAATATATTTCTTTCATTCTGTTTTTCTAGCTTCTTAATGATCTTAACTCTAACCACTGGCATTGCAAAAATGTTTGGTAGATCACCAGGGAGTTCAGAGTATGTAAGATCACTGGTTGGCTTGTGTAACAATGACTCAGATAGTATTGTTGCCAAATCTTTCTCACTATTTTGAGT